AGCTTTTCAAACTGCACGTATGGAGTCATTTTCGTTTGTTTAAATTGACCACGACACAATAGAGAGTTTTAGTAGGTCGTTCCGATGACTCCGATAACGATACCCGATACTCCACCGCCGCCTTTGCACATGTATCGTACTGTTATTGGGTATCGTTATCGGGGGTACCGGAACAATCTGCTAAAACTTTATGTTCGAATTTTACTAACTGCATACCGCGTAGGGGTGCACAGGACAACTAGCACATGAACGGGAAGAGGACAGAAACGTGATTTTACTCGCGATACCAAATGTGCTGAATGATGAAGGACAGTATAAACTGCTGAAAATCGTTATTTTAGGCACAGAACCAAAGGTAAAACAACTAGCATATTCCACGGAATTTAGATCGAGAAAAAAGCTTTTGTCATTTGATTAAGAACACCAATTACAATGGGTATGTGGGACTTCATTATAACCAAAAAAACAAAAAAAAAGGCACGTGAACAATAAATAAGCTTCAGAAACAATACAGTCGAGCACAATAATTTTATTCCCAAGTTTTCATCGACTGATTTAGCTAAATGAGTTTTAATTTACTTCGTTTCCTGTGGCATCGGACAGACAATATGCAAATATAATATATTATGTCAACAAGAGAGTTGACATAAACAAATAAGCTTATAAAGAAGTCTGTAAAAATCTTCCCACAGTACACAAGTATCCCTGCTAAATTACAATTTTGAACTAAAAATCATCAGAATATCATAGTCGATCATATGTAGTAGCCGCAGTCTTCTTCATAATTTATTCTTTACTGCAAGATAAAGTATTTACATCAAGCTCTTTTTTTTTTTGTATCGTCAACGTTTGTATGTGCAACGGCAAGCTCTGGAGAAGTGATTTCCTTTTAGTTCGTAGCTGCTTCTGCAACTAAGTAAGATAAAAAAATAAAAAAATCGCATTGCCTGCTTTGCGGTTTTCGCTTCACTGCAATACACCAGTGTGCGGTGAGAAGCGCACTCAACGAAGCAGCCTAACCCACCCGAAACAGACCGCCAACATGAAAATATTGCGCGACTTCTGAGCACTGTCAGCGTTTGATAGAGATAGAAAATCGAATAGTTCGTTAGTTAGGACAATAGTAGAAAGTTCTGAAAATTCTAACGAGCTTACCGTAACGACCAGGCGGTGTGGCGGGTCCTGAGCCATTATATTTTCAGTATTAACAAAGCGAAATCACCTTTTTGGCGTCACCTTGGCGCAAATTCATCCCATTTTGTCGGAATGTAGCAGGATGTAGCAGCGTGAGCACTCTGGTGCCAATGGCGCAGCAAATACGTCACCAGGATCGAACCCAGGATCATTGGATTGTGCAGTGCGAGCTTTCGCTCCATGTGCTCCCAGCTGCGGTGCGTTAACAGAACGCACACGGACACCGATCCCCAGAAACTGCACGTTCAAAAAATAAAGTAATAAATACATCGATTAATTAACTCGTAATTGATTTAATAATTATTCGCACAAAAAATTAATAATCGTTTACACAAAAGCAGGGGTCCATTTTTTTCCGAGTCGCCGGAATTGCAGAACGGGGGAGTCAGTGTTGTATCGGAGGCTATCCCAGATGGTTTCCGGAGTGTCTTCGTCCGAGATGCCACAAATGACTCTCTTGCAGGTATTTTCGGGCGCGGTGGCGTAGGCGGTGGCCGGGTATAAGTTTTGCTTGCGTTGTTAGTGGAATGCATTTTGCTGTAGACCTCGGCTCGTTCGGGATTGGAGGTGCAGATGACGAAGATGTTTTTCTCCGGGTATTTACCGAGCAACTCACTAGCTGATGGTACAAATGAGCCACAGCATCATTGAGGCCATACAGGAAGTGACAGCCGTCTCTCCAACGCACCAACAAATGCTCCTCCAGCTTCTGCAGCCCAGTCACCGCGTCTCTATAGTCGAGTTCAAAACACAGCACCCACCCCTCCCTTTGCCCCCGCCTCAATCGCCACGATCCGCATCTCCCTCCAGGGCCCCATTTCCACCTCGAGGGCTCCGACCCCCAGCCCCAACCCCCTAGCATCGCCCAAATTCAAGATCCCCAGCAGCCGCAGCATCAGGCTTGCTCCTCCCCAGCCCAATCATGGATAGGGACGAGATATGGCAATGGAACTGCAGAAGCTGCAGGAAGAGAAGCGTAAACCTCCAACAATTCCTCCTAACCCGACCCGTGCCACCGGTAGTCATCTGCCTTCAAGTGGACCATCCCCAAGCTGGCCGGGTACAAAACATGCCGATTCTCCCTCCGACAACTCCTCGCACCCATACCCGACCACCGCAATAGCGCAGCCATATTGGACGATTCGGTAGATGACAATATACCACATGCACTAATCGAGCTAATCCCTCGCAACGCTAAAAACAGCAGTGCATTTATTCTAAACGTTCACAGTCCACCAAAGGACTGCAAAGAGCCAAATTTCACAACGTACTACACCGAAGGCTAATAGCTAAACGCGATCGCCTCCTGGGGGGGGGGGGGGGGGGGGGGGACGATCGCGTTAATTCCCCCCCCGATGACGAAGCAGGTTGAGCTCGGCGGTACGGACGATCACGCAAAGATTAGGGAGCCGCTGTTAAAATAAAACGGGTAAAGCTGCATTCTCATTTTTGAAAGCGGAGCAGGCTTCATTTACAGGAATACGGCCGTAATGGCTGACTGTTCTACTGTCGTCGTAGTTGCGGGCCGCCAACTTTAGAACCCTCCAAATCTCTTCACTTTCTGAGATACTACTGCATTACCAACGCGTGCCGGACATAAGGATAGCTGTACTTCCACAAAAAAATTAAACAGCAACAGAAAAAAAAAAAAAAAAAATCTCGACGTTGAAAAATTAGAGCAACCGTTCACGCACAGGGGCACATATACAGGGCCATGATGAAGAGGGCCAACCAGTCTACCCATCCTCTAAAACTCCGTAAACGTCCGGTAAAGTGCCGCAGTTGACATTACACGCTGTTGACTCATGGCGGATAAACCACGATTCTACAAACATCCACGGCCCCGACCTCTGCTCCTGTGGCAAGGTCGACGCCCAGTTGAAATCCAAAGCATGACCCGTCGTCAAGAAACTATCGACCCGGTCGGACTTTGCGCGCGTAGAGTACGGTGAATCGCAACATGTGTTCTGTGGTCCTTGAGAAGGGTGTTTCTTCGTCTACCCGTCTCACCAATGTAAGTGGCGTCGCAGTAAACATTTGCCTACAAAAAAAAAAAAAAAAAAGGAAGACAAGCTTGCTGTGTATTTGCTGAAATAAGCAAACTACACTAACGAGAGGGACAAGACGGTCCTGGACGGAGCGTGTTCTGCGCAGAGCGGGATTCTCCCAAAAAGCCCAACAGAACAAATCGGCGTAGCCACGAGTTGGAGATAGTCCGCGCTCCCCCTTTGTTCCGTGGCCCGTGCAAACCCGACTGCATGAGCAGGGGAGCGATAGGGCCCCCGGTTGTGAGTGTGTGGTGGGGAGGGGGGGGATTTCGACCCCCCCCCCCCCCAAACCACCCCCTGCCCGCGCCACCGCCATACCTGGACAACAAGTGGCTGTGTCTTTACGCATCGACTTCACCCAACAATTCAATGGATTAAATAAAGTTGTGTCCTCAAGGTGTTCAAGGTGTTTATTGGCACAACTTCCACACTGCCGAGTGCCTGAGGCAGCCAAAAGGCAGAAGCCCGTACAGCCAAGTGCTGGCTGCCTCCTCGGCTGTGTGAAATTATGATGATGATTATACAAATGAAAATACACCACTGCTGATGGTCTCGCTAACCGCGATTCTGGCGATGTCCGCCAGGATCGCGGTTAGCGGCAGCATGACCTTCTATGACGTCACCAGGCGGGAATCGAGGGATCACTTTTTTTGGACGCGGTAAACGCACCAGCCGGAGACGCATTCCAGGCACCATAGTCCAGGGTCCGAGTACGATAAAGCAGGAGAGAGGGAATTGGTAGGCTACCTACCCTCTCTTCTGCTTTATCGGGTAGCAAACCCCAGACCACGGCGGCTTCCTCGGACCAGTCGCAGATTTCTTCCGTGAGGGAGGTTAACTTGGGGGTGAGCGACGAGGCTATGGTGCTCCCCAGGTGGCGCAAGCTAGAACCCAGTTCAAAAAACTAAAAAACTATTTATTTTATTTAAATTAGACAACGTCTTGCGCCCCCTATTGAATATAAATGAAAACGTTCTGCACAGATAAAAACGCTTCGCTTAACCTCCGCGAGGAGGCAGTACCTGCGCGCGCTCGCGAAAGGTTTTCAGCTATTTATACATGAGGAGTGTAGACACAAAGTGGAGACAGCGCACTAGAAAATTAAGAGGAAGGTTTTTGGGCTATAGCGAAGATACGGAAGAGCAAGTCTCAGTTAAGAAGAAAGTTAAGGCCACAGAAAGAGATCGGTGGCTAGAGGGAATGCAGACAAAGACTGCTCTGGAAAGCTATAGATTAAACAAAAGAGTTATTGCCAAAGAAAGCATTTATGACAATTCTAGGGGAAGCTCATTGCTGTTTGAGGCAAGAACGGGTGTTCTGCGAACCAGAACATACAGAGTGAAGTACCAGGAAATTGATACAGTGTGCACTGCTTGTGGAGAGGAGGACGAGACGGCTGAGCACTTGATACTCTACTGTAAAGGGCTTCACCCTATGCCTACCGAAGACAACATAGATTTAATAAAGTCATTGGGTTTTAGAGACAGCGAAGGGAGAGTGGATTTCAAGACTGTAGAGATTACCAAGCAAAGATTAAGTGAATGGTGGCAGAAATCGAGAGAAAACTAGGTATTTTCTTAATCACTGATGGCAAGGGGGTTTCATAGCCTCACTTTCTTTGCACTGCGGAGTGAATATAGATTTCACATTTAAATATTCTAAGCTTAAATGGTAAAACAAAATGGCTAGGTGGCGTAAGCTACCGCCCGATCCAAAGGGCTCAGCCGTATTCATTCATCCATCCATCGCCGCGCCTCGCGCCTCTGCCATCTTTGCTCGATTACCGTTCGAGCGCTTTAAACCTTCAAACATGGCGGAGATGTGTCACTCTCAGTCTTATTCGACCTTCTCGTTTTCATAATTACTTCCGCTGTAGGTCCAAAGAAAGTGCCCCAGATATGATCCGAGTTTTCGTGCCAAACTACCGTCAAGTCTACGCCCCGAACGGCCGCCAGTACGTCGTCTACTGCGTCGAAGTAACCGTGTCGGGGGTGTGTCACAAGCTGGAGCGGCGTTACAGGACATTTCACGCCCTCCACAAGAAAGTGAAACGGATGCTGGGCAACCGAGCCCCGAGCGGTTTTCCACCGAAGCGGCTACGAAGCCTCAACCCGAAGCTTCTCGAACAGCGACGGATCGGCCTGGAACACTACCTGCAGAATCTTGTGAGAGTTCCCACGTTGTCCAATCAGCTGTTGTCGTTCCTCGAAGTGCCCACGCCGATGTCGCCAGCAGCGAGCGTCGCTTCGAACGACAGCGACGAACAAGAGTTTAAACCGCTTCATCAGCCCGTGCTGGGCTTCGTCAAGGATCCTTACCCGGATACGTCGAGCAGTGATTCGTTGCCCGATATCGTGATGCAAGGTGTCATGACGGGGCTATTTGGCTACGACGACTAGAACCGCTTGGTTCTACGCTCTTGTAAAAGCCATGTTCGGGGAGATCAGCTCGTAGAACGAGTTTCAGGGTGTGTTTTGACTCGTGGGAGAGTTGCTCGTTTGAGCAATCGGGTGTTACAGTCGTAATTGGTGGGTGTCACAACTTACGAAATGACAATTTATGATCTGCGCAAGTTAGACTTGTTAGCTATCGTGGTGAGTGACGAAACCTCGCTCATTTTTGTCATGGTTCGTGCACGACTTTATGATAGTGTCATGACCCTGAAGGTGCTTAGAGGTAAGCTCTGCTAGGGGCCATGTATGCCGCAATATGTGCGGAGTTCTGGCATTGGGCGTAAAACTTACGAAAACATTGTCACACCAACTGATTTTTGATCTGACAATTACTAATGGCTGCTACAAACTATTGGGAATTGTTTTTGAGCTTTATCTCTCAACCTCCTTATTATTGCTAGTAAATGTGATAAATAGTGCAGATGTCATTTATAGACATGTTTACTTTGACAACAGACATAAGAAATAATATTAAATAATTTGTGTTAAAATATAACAAAAAAAACCTGCCATTGTTATTCTCAGTTTGAGCTTAGATGGACCGTAGAGTATGCTAGGATCCATTGAAGCCAATCATATGTCATGCCAGTGTCACATGAGCTTTGGAAGGCGTGCTGTGGTGCATGGGGTACAGTCATGCGGTATGTTTGCAGCACTGAATTGGCCGAGATGGCTTGTAGTGTCCGCTGCCGTCCATCGTAAGCTGAAACAGTATGACCAAGACCTGTTCTCCCGGCGGCCTTAGCACTCTGGACAATCTTTTTGTCACTTCCAGTCTTCCTGGAACTGAAATTCAACCAGAGATTGCTATTAGCTTAAGAGTATATTCTGAAATCAACTGGCTTCCTAGTATATTGCGGCCACTAGTTCTCAAATTTCCTTACTGCACCACGTCTGTTTGTCGTTCATTAATTACGGGAGTCAGTTTTGCCGGCGAGTTCTTTCAGAATTTATCACACTGTAACCATGTCGCAGGATTCATTCAACTGTGCACATTTAACGTTTGTTTTTCTGCTTTTGTTCTTCTATTTCTTGTTAACATTGTATCGAGTCTAAGCTAAAAATACTACCTATTCTGTACATGCTTCTACATCTTTATATTTTGTTGATTTATGTATAGTTTATGATGTTGTTAAGACTGTCCAATTGCTACTTATTGAATGTAAGCACTCTGCAAAGATGAAATATCAACCTTTGAATGCTTGTTTCGTAGTTTCTGCTATTTCTTTGGGGAACAGTTAGTGTTTGTTGGGTAGGGCAGCCGTTGGTGGTGAGCTTATGGACACTAGTTAGTCACACTTAGCATGCATTATCAAAATGCAGGTGAAGCATCAGCCACACAGCATTTATAAACAACTGAAGTGCACTTTAAAATAATTTTTGAGCAATTTCATAGAACAGCTATTTGCACGTTCCAAATATTCTAATCTTGCTCATGGGTGAAGTTTGTATCAATTCCCCTCATTCATTATTCCTAAGGATAAGCAATAGATTGTGTAAAACTACAGTCGTCTTACCTCTAGTGCTAACTGTGGCATCAGTGATGTTCTGTCCACAATTTGACCAAATCTCGAAAACTTCGGTTGAAACCACCAACGCACATTCTCTTGTTCTCCACAGTGTGAATGCTTCATTTTTGCTAAGCTTAAATATGGACTACTTATCCAATTCCGGATTACACTTGCTTGAATTCCTCATCAAGCTCAACTCATCATTGCAAACATATCTTGAACTGACAGTAAAAAAAAAAAAATGAATGCAGTACACCACATTTGTAAAAACTGAACAAAACATTTATGTACATATCTGGCTTGGTTTGAATTTTTTGTAGAGTTACTCAACAGCACAAATTTATGCATAACAGTGGCGGAGTATGTTACAGGAAAAAATAGCTGTGAAATGTCTTAAAAACGGACCGGTTCTTTCTAAAAAAAAAGAAGCAACGTCTGCATTTATCTCGCAGTACATCCCCAACCTTAAAAGCGGGTGGCAATTTTTGTTTTTCTTCTCTCTAATAAAGAAGTTTACGGTTCCGACATCGGCTCCATGCAAGGTCAGACTAAGTAAACATGGGCTGGCATTTTGTTTTCCTGAAACACTGAAAACAAACATTGTTGCTCCGGAAAGCTAACACATCTTTGTTTTTTTTATAAATAGTAGCGGTACAACCATGGGTACAACAGTCTCTCAACAGCTTGTCTGTTTCTAGTGTGCACACAAAATATCACGAACACTTTGACTATGCCCCCACGTCGACTGGAGCAAATGACATCTGTGTTGCTGGCCTCTGTCGCGTGATGTTAGTACCTGACAGCATCTGCCATTGAGCTGTGACCTTAGCATTGCAAACAATGTTGGAGACTTGAAGCGGTCGCCCCTTACAGACAGCATCTCTAGCAGATGGAATTTGTGGCAGGAGCGAGTTTTACCAGACTGCACTGGTGATGGGTGGCATTTGCAGAAGACGGCATGGGGGACTGTGGCTTCTATTAACACGGTATCCTAGTCCTTGAGAGAAGAGACAGGTGCCTAGAAATTATGCAAAAAACTGGAAACCAACAACTACCACTTTGAATGCGATGTGCCTTTGTAAAAGCATCAACACGACCTTTTCTTTCTCGTGTGTACCTTTCAATTTCATGGAAAGACGTTTACAATGTACCAGTCACATTATCTCGGTGGTTCGTCTCCCTTCTGCAGTGTTTCGAGTTTCATTCAAAGGGGGAACGTTATTTTTCTCATCCTTGAAACTGGTCTTGCATGGTGCTAAACTCGACACGTCGAGTTTGCGTTTGTTAATGTGACTACATGATATTATTCCTTCAGGTTTCAAATCGTAAGAGCTAGGCACCATAGAGATGGTCTTTGTAGAGAAGTTTGTTGGTATCCTCTTACGTCATGCCTATTTTCCCTTTTTACTTCAAATAGAGTATAGTTGTTGCAGTGTTTGAATGGAACGTTCAGTTACTTTGTGGTCCTATCAACATAACAGTGGCTTTGTGAGTTCACACTTTGAAGGAGGGTGCTTGATTGGCATGGTCCATGAGTAATTACTAGTTTCAACTGTGGGTTCTCCTAAGGCACCTCCCACATATGTTGGTATGCACATTCAGTATAAATTTGACGGCCTAAAACTTTCAAAATCAAGCACCTCATGAGGTCATACAACTTCATGCCTGCTCTAAAGTCTTCGATACAAGTTTAGAATGAGTGGGGTTCTTTATCAACGGCCCTTTTGAGAGTCGCTCTTTATAGCTGTCAAGATAAGGAAAGGAGCAAACAGTTTGGTAAACATTTGAAGGAGGCGACATCGTTTTGGAATCATCTTGCTCAGAGGGATGAACAAATACATACTCATTCTCACTGCAGCCTGCAGTTTTAAAATGCACAATGAGTCGCTCGAGACCAGACGGCATATAACAATGGCTATTGGCTTGTCTGTGTGACAGCCCTTGTTCGGCAGGTGATTGCACAACACGAAGAAACACAATCATAAATAAATTAGAGTGTCATGGCGCCCAGCGCTGTACATTGTAAACACTTTGCAATAAATTACATAGCAAGGGGCATCTCGGGGCCCCATAGCCCTTCTACTCTCCAGGAGCATTAGAAATACCATTTCAAACAAGAGGATAAACGCCTGTTTTGTACCACAAAGCAGCATGGTACTTTCAAGGCGACGTTGCAACACGACAACGCGGCTTCGCCTCGGAGGAAGTGCTTGCACATTCCGAGAGTTCATTCGAAGCACCACAATGGCTAGTGAGGTCACCATGCTTTCAAATGACCTAGTGCACTAGCAGAACTTATCTCTTCTGCCGTATTCCAGATCATACTGCTTCAGAATTCACTCTCCAAGACGGTACACCCCTGTACGGTACTGTCCTGGATAGAAGAGTCCCGGACAGTACTGTCCTGGATGGTACTCTTCATTGAACTGTCCGGGAGGTCGGTGGAGGTTGCCGACCTCCACTGAACATACTCTGCCATATTGAGCAGTCATAGGCTCTTCCACCATAGTGCCTGGTACCATTCCTCACGACCCTGGAGTCTAATGTCTGCAGTTACAAGTGCTCTCAATGGTCCAATGGACCAGGGTTCGTTCTTGCCGCAGAGAAGTCCAGACTCTAACTAAGAACTAGCATCACTCCGTAAACGCACAAACAAGCGCCCCTTGGTCCATGGGTTCTGGAGCCGCAGGGGCTGGAAGTCGCTGCTTAGGCACCGCTCTCGTGCTCCGACCACGGCCACCAGACAGAAGTCCGCGAGTCGCTCGTCCCCGTAAAGTGGACCATGGCGACCTTTGGCCACGACCGCCGTGTTTAGCTGCCGCACCACGAGTTCCACGACCTCTCTCGCCGTCGTCTCCGGAGTCACGTGGATCTTGATGCTCGTGCCAGGCGGAAGTCCCGAGTCATACGCAGCGTAGACGCGAAGCACGCTCGGAGATGTCGCTGTGCTCTCTTCCTCATTCTCGTCATTGGTGTCGTCGTCCTCTTCGCCACAATCGAAGCTTACCGAGCCGCCACCTTGGCGTGCCTCCTCCACTTCCTCGAAGTCTTGAGGTCGCTCCAGGACGAGTCGCGACGCGGATGCACAACGCCTGATTTCGAGTCCTCCGCCACTCACGGACGATGAGGTCCCGCTGACGGAGAGGAACAGTTTGGCGTCGATGAGATCGTCCACACGGGAGACCCTCCGCGCTGCGGCGCTAGGTTGGGACGAGCGTCGGCAGGTGGGGCTCGTGGACCTGGGGGACGAGGAGGCTCCGTCGGATGCGGAGCAAGTCCAAACAGAGGCGAAGGGGAGGCCGGCGTTGAGGGCACGGTCCCTGGCAAAGGTGAGGGCGTCCATGATCCATCGCATGCCACGCCACGTCTGGTCCAGCTGGACTTGGAAGTCTTGGAGCTGGTTGAGGCGGCTCCGCGCTGCGGCCACCTCTGGCGCGGAGAATGCCTGCGATTAAGTGAAGGTGCCCAAATTGATATTATACTTCTTTAGATTGTGAGACAGAGTGCAGCCAACACTGAGCAGATAGGGCCGATCAGAGAGTGCCAAAGGGGCAACATCACGGTACTTGTTCTCTTGTTGAGATTCTGATATGGTAGTCGGCTCAGCCAATCGAGTGTAGTGAATGCACCATGACCTTGCACTTTTAGTATGTGCGTCCATGTTCGCACGTCTTGTAGTTTTTATGCACTCTTATTCGGTGATATAAAGTATATAGTAGGAGGCAAAACCAATCTCATGAGTATTAGGTTGATAGTGTGATAGTATTTGCCGGCATGTATAATGTGATGGTAAAAGGAAGCACACGCAATCAGCAAAGAATTTTTTTAAAATATAAAACCCATTGGAAGCCTTAGAGTACCAGTTGATATTTCCCCAGGAGGATTATAAGCTTCTTCAGTTACTCGGAAGCTGTCTCTTAGGTAAACATAGGCTCCCACTCTTAAGTTTCCAGGAGGTTTCTTTCAAGCTTTCCACAGCAGGTTCACTTTTTGTTTAAAATACTGGACAGTAAAACATTTTGTTACAGCCCTAACGTAACACAACGTTATAGGTGCTTCTCGGCACAATCTATGCTCGAGGACAGCTCCTCGACCGCTTCAGACTAGCCGTGTTTGCCGAACTATGCTTACACAGCTTCTAAAAAATTTCCAAATACTATTGCACAGAAGCAATTGCAATATAGTATGCGTGGATACTACGTTTGAAAACTGTGCAGGTGTATAAATGTGTCGCACACCCATACAATTTACCAGACAGATTTAGTAGAGGTTCTGTTGAATAAAAAAACTACCAGACTAAACTACAACAACAACCTTAACGCGATCCAGTAGTACAAGTGCCTCGATGCTATCTGTGCTCAGCTGCCACTTGTAGCTCTTTTTAACCACTCACTCACCTACCAAGCTACAACCAAACGCCATCCATTAGACGTTTGCAGACGTAGGACTCCAGTCGGGACTGGATGACACGAAGGATTGTAACCAACGATGAACAGGTCGGGGCGGTAGCTGCACATACCTCTCGGTTCGCGTGCTGCGCAAGCACGGTGTCGGTCTCGAGGATGGAAGAGACGCGAGCATAGCGTGCCATCAGGGGCCTCTGGTAGGTCCCCATGTGGATGACCTCGAAGATCTGAACCGGAAGCGCCAGGCAGTCGGCCCGAGAGGTCAGCTCCTCCCGCTGACCCGGCACCGAGCAGACGCCCTCCACGGGTGGGAGCGCAAGCAGGAAGCTGACCCCTTCAGACAGCTCCACGACTTCGGCGTCGTACAACCTGCATGACAAGTGGTACGGGAGTTTAGTTTCCAAGATGACGTTGGCCTCGATCGAAAAACCTCCGACTCCACTAAAGGGACTTGGAGCTCTGCATGTCCTGTAGCGGAGTCAAAGTTTGTGCTAATCATGGGTTCGATCCTCGCCGCTGCCCATTTTGATATGGACGAGTGTCGTACAAGCTTGCATTTGTTTGATGATTATAGCACATGATGTGCATTAAAGAATCCAGGTTAGTAGCCTGCACCGACTAGGTTTCTCACCTACAGAAGAAGCCAGTGTCTTTATTCTCAATGGTAGTCCGACCCCACACAGACTGAACACTCTACAACAATAACTGCATTTTTTCCTCAAAAAGCTTAAATCGAGTTAGCACTCTGACGTTTACTCGGCAAAGCAACCACCAGTAGTGACCGCTAAATGCTGGAACAAACAATATTTATGAGCTGTTGTAAAATCATGCATACAATCTGCTAGAAACTAGGATTGAAATGCTACTCTAATATCTAGAAAAAGCATGCTATTATGTAGCATATGTATAGAAATATAAATAACTGTATTGCACATTTAGCCTTGTGTTATGCAACGAAAAACTAAATTCCATTTCTTTTTGGCATGGTTGTGCTGACATGTCAGATAAGCTAAATAGAAATTAGGATGAACAAATGGCATGCTAATTCAGAACGTAGGTCTGGGGCCAAGCACAAAGCTATAACATCCGAGCTCATTCTTGTTCGGTTATAGATAGCACCCCCACTCTACCTCTGCTAAGGCAGATTAATCTTTTACAGAGATTCCATACCTGAAACCTCTACCAATTCAAAGCAGCTAGAGGCATTCCCTTTCATTCTAAATTATTGGAAGCCGACTATAGCAAGTGATTCCCACTGCACAAGTAAGATGGCATGACTCACCGGTGTGCATCATGAAGCTCTGGTGGAACCTCGAGCTGCGCAAAGAGGTTTCTAGCTGCCGCCGAGACTGCACGCTGAAAGCGCAGCTGTGCTTCGTCAGGCTCCGCTTTGCCAGGTTGGGGTTCGTCTGGTTCCCTTTCGTTGGCACCAGTGTTGCTGGCATCTCCGCCGGTTAGGCCTCTCAGCCAGCGCCACTCCTCACTGCAATAATTGCATACTTCCGTTTTAGGGAAAACAATGTAGCCAGTACAGTCACAAAATGCATCAGCTTCAAAAGCCACCGTACCTCATTACATTATCAAACATTTTGATGCTACATTTAACTTTAATAAAGCAACTACAGCGAGTTTCGCAGCACGCTTTCCCACATTGCAATAATCTGCTTCTCCACATAACACGGTTGCAATGCACGGAAACGCACCCAACAGTATGCAGGAGCTGCGCGTTACCAAGGTTGTCACATGCATTACTGTTACACACATGACAGTTATGGCCCATCAAGACAGCGGCATACGACTATAAAATAACAATAATAGTAATAATAATTATTATTATTTTGGCCTTGGACAGCCGTGATGCAGGAGAAGGGACGGTGGCTCATACCCTATATTATGCTGTGAAACATGACTGCAAGCCACAGGTAGATTTGTGCTTCGAATACCATGTTTCAAGCCTTGAATTGCTTGCTGCACTTTGAACGAAAGTGTGCATGTCCCGGTGACTGAGAGTAGTAACTTGACACAACTTCTCAAGACATGGTCAAGCGTGGTCAAACGGCACTCCGTGAAAGGGCCTTCAGACCAAAGACTGTGCCTACCAGGAGACGTGGGGGTTGTCCCGTATCCTGCAGTAGGGCAGCACATTCGGGTTGCGGTAGGGCACCAGCACACTGATGAGGTCCATGGAGCTCTTGAGCTTCAGATAGCCCAGGTACAGGCCACGGGCCAGGGGCTTGCAGCTTGCCTGGTTGTACGTCATCATCTCCTGCATGATGCACAGGGAAGCCATGGTCATTATTGGTCTCTGCATGCATGCAAACCCTAAGTTATGAGGCTTGCCGGGCAGAGTGATGGCCTTTTTGATGTCACAATGTAAGACCAGTGACTTGGAAAGGTCTACCATGATCGACAGCATTATGGTCACTGATGAAGTGAGAAAAGCAGGGCATGTTTTTCTAACACCCAGCCTCCAGCATCTACTCAGTGCCTTCTACTGTGCTCCAGCCACACAAGAGATTAAAGCATTGTTGAAAGTAGGAATCTCTCGTTGGAGGCGGGTAAACTGAAGTTCCTCACTGTCGTTCCCACCTTGACTGCGACTATAGTAGCTGGAGCGGTGAACTATTGAAAGCAGGAATATTAACGCAAAATGCACTTATGGGCTGGTTTTTTATGTCTAGAATGTAAAAGTAATGGAAATGCGTGACACGGCTTTGCCGGAATATTTAACCAGGAAGTTAGATGCAGAATGCTTTATGCGCATCCTAGCTCCTTTCAGACAAGTCTAAAAGCCCCAGAAACTTGAAGACCAACACATATAAAGAGGTCAGAAATCACTCGAAGTCAAATAAAAAATTGTGAGCAACTGTGGAGGCTTTATTTTCGATATTTCGAGCAGAGCTTGCTCTTTTCAAGATTTTGATATAAGAAAAAGAGCAGGCTCTGCTCGAAACATCGAAAATAAAACCTCTGCTGCTGCTCACAATTTTTTCTATGTCTTTCTAAAGAGTTAAGATGTGCAGAACCTATTCTACGTCTCTCAGCTTTGCACTAAGAATCGAGGCATGCTCAAAAGTTTTTTCTTCTGTCATATCCACTTTGTTTGGCCTACACCTCTAAAAGTGTGCACGTGTATGCTACACTGCACCGATCTGATTTCAGACATCACTAGAATACTATGTGCCCAAAAAGGGCCTCATATTTGTTGAAACCTAAAGATTTCCTCCATCGATTTTTATACATTATTCGCAACAAAGCATCCTCTCCGATAATTTCAAGAGGCAAGCAGTCGAACGAGGCAAGTAAACAACGAAAACCACTGTTGGGCCAGTCTCCTCGAAATGAGGCGTAGTCTACGAGTAACTGTCGCGTGATGGCATCTGTGATTCAGCTCACCGAGAGGGAAGAAACCAAGAGTTCTGATGCCGAGGGAAGCTCCCCGCCGTCGCTGACGCTTGGTATCCGGCGCTGTATCTTGGCCAGGGGTATCCAGCGGACCGAGAGTGCGCTCACCGTCTTCGGCTCGCTCACATACTTGACCACGCAGAGCACTGTGGTGCCCTCATAGTCGCGCAGCGGCTTGTAGTACACCTGGCCCAGGTCTTGAACACCCAGAGCAGACTGCGCGGGATTAGACACACACGGTTGAAGTAATAAAGACGACTGCAGGTTGCGTTCCATGTTGTTGGTGTATACCGAAATTAACGGTGCATACCTGCCGCAATCAACACTTTGAAAACAATATCGCAGTTCACTTCGAAGCAAATATTGAATAGCACATGATAATGCGAAAGCATTAACTGCCCCATGAAGCAGAGCCGGCGCCGTGATAGCCAATGGCGGCAGCTTCTCGAGAGCACGTGCTCGGCCGCCGCTCTCGTGTCGGGCACTGCTGGAGGGGGGTGGGAGGCTGCGACTGCGGCCACTTTTGCTCTTCTCGGCAATGAGGAACATGGAGCACCTGAGGAATCTACATCGTCGGCAGCCACAACCTTAGCAGTAGCGAAACATGACCGTCCACGCCAGTACACTGCAGACAGACTACGGGAGCGGAAGAATGACATTCATGCTTTCGCATTCATAACTTGTAAGAAGTGCTTAGGTGTCCTCGCAATTTTTTTTCGAAACTACTCTTCGAATATTTGCACAACATTCCTGGTTATTATGAACACAAAGAGGAACTAAATATTTGAAAAGTCTCGGCAAGAGCAAATGTCAGTAACTTCCCAACAAACAACCAATTTAACGAACGCATGTTGTGGATCAAAAGCACTGCATCCAGATGTTTTACTATAAGCATACCTGCATCTGCTCAACAGTTTGCAGTAGCTTGCTCCGGAAGTGAACATTGGAAGAACTGTGGCTCTTCTCCATGTCTTGCCTCAGGGTGCGGACATCATCCCACGTGCATGCCACCTGGGAAAAAAGGGGCAAAAGTTATTTTATGATGAAGCATGTTTGTATTTCATTATAGGAACTATATTTTTTCTCAGTTGTCCATTAAAATTAATATATTGCACTCCCAACATTATTTTTTTGTATTGACTGCCTGGATTTAACATACCCACAAACTGCACTTTAACTAAAAAAAAACAATATTATAGCATAGTTATTTCAAACAATATGCTATTCGATATTCACTTCATTGATCACAGAAGTTATCCCCGTTGAGTGTGCTTCTCACCAATACCTGTACACTGCAGCAAAGCTACACCCGCAGAGCTCGTAAGCTCCGCGGGTATATTGCTTCCCCGTAGTGCAATGGTGCTCAGTGAGAAGCGCACTCAAAGGGGCTAACTCGCCGCCATTATGACAGACTCTGCAGAATAAATGTTAGGCACCAATGTCTTGACAACCTACACTCAGCATTCGTGCTCATTTTTTTGCTGTTTTTTTGTCAAATTTTAAATTGAAAAAGAATATTTGCATAGAGCATTCAGATTTACAAATCCCCTCGATTAGGATAGCTGCAACAATTTTGTTGTTTACATGTGACACAGTACATAAATATAGCTATATTATAATTAATTGAGGTTAGAAATGGACAAGTAGAAGGTAGGGGACAACCTTCACGTGTTTGGCTGAATTTTCATTTAAGCATGCTACCCGCTAGTAAAAGGCTTGGAGAAACTATTAAATATTCGATTAGGAAATTTCGGCCAAAACCACTATTTGTTTGAGTATACTTTAACTCAAAATCCACTATTTGCACATGACTAACAAATAATGAATGAATGCAATATTTACACTGTAAAGCGTGATGTATGTGCGGAGTAATTCTGTCCGCTTGGACATGCCAGCTCCATAATGAGTTGTATATAGAGGACATAACACTGACGTCCAAGTAGAAGTAATATTGTGAGCCTCTGACTGACTGGAAAAAACCTAGAGGAGAGGTACAGCCTCCCTTTCGGGCCTTTGCTTTCTGCCCACCACACACCGAGTAAAGGGACGAGAAAAAAGGGCAGATGGAGACCATGGCTCATTCTATTATTTTTTTTTTTGGAAAGGGTGGGAATTCATTCTGTGAAATACTGTCACAGATGGAAAATGGTAGATGAATCTAAGACTGTTAATAAAAGTTTAAAAAGGCAAACTTGTGCCTGGATCTTGCGACGGCATTGTCAGGATGACCATTCCAAAACACTGCATTACCGCTGCTTTTAAACATGCAACACGGTCAGAAATGTTCCAAACCATAACACTCAACGACAGACAAAAAGGGGCTGAAGCTTTCTAGAAGAGTGCATAATTATAAGAACGTCCAGGCTGAGAGGTTAAAACCCAGTTTCTCCACGTGGCAGCCACATGCATTGCCAACTATACCACGCATGCAGCAATACAAAATCTGTCCAGGTAGATAAAAAAAATTCTTAGGGGGGGGGGTTAAGTTGTGCGTAGTGCTAACAAAGTCGGAAGGATCTTTTGGTGAAATTATTTTGTTTGCACGAGCTACCCTCAACGATAACTGAATGGAACTCCTTGACCGACCTCGCAGTCTCAGCTAACAATATTGTTACTCTGCTCAGCGAATATTTGAAATATGCGCAGTTCTAATACTACTGAAGTGATGATGTGTTACTAGGCTATTTTTTCAATGTATAAATTTCGTTTGTTCTTATGTACGTTTACGGATTGTTCTTGAGCGTAAAACTTCTGTCGTTCTTAAGGTTACTTGTTACTTTTTTACTACCGAAATTTTCAGAAGCCCATCCCTCGTGTAATGTCAAATGGTAGGGCCTACGAGGTATTAATAAATAAATGAATAAATAGGGCAAGCATACCTTCATCATCCAGTGGAAGTCTGTCTGAAGGGAGGCAGGGAAGGAGTCGTCCACCTCAAGAATGGGCAGGGTCTCCTCGGTGGTCACAAGAATGCGGTCCTCGTTGTAGAACAGGCAGGCCAGGTACACGCCACGCTTCAGGCTGCGCTGGAACTTGGGCGCCGCCGCAAACAGCTGCCGAATGCTCTTGCGCATCTGCCGCCTCTGAAGGACGCAAGAAAGACGTCGAAGCAGTTAGGTCGCCAATCCTGGCAGTCGGCTGGGACAGCAGCAACATTTGCGTACAAGATGTAATACGGCATGCCAGTTTGCCTGCTCTTGGCGCACTTTGCGTGCACCAAATTATGGCTTACCATAAATAAATGTGATTTGACTTAAAGGTGACAGGTATAAACAAAAAAAACTGTATGACTGAAGTTGTTTAAAGCTCAAAACAGCAAAAAATGAAATGTTCAGTGTAAAACATGCAAGCAGATTTGTGGGCACCATGAGAGGAATATTTAGCAAACTGATTATTTCCGAATGACAGGCCTTCACATTTCACTGTAATTTGTTTTGCAAATTGCATATTTGTAGTTCTTCGATTCCAAAAAGTCCTGCTTTCCTTTTCCCTAGCTCTATCTCTCTCTTTGTCATTATCATATATCTCTCTGTTATTCTCAGCAATTTTTATTTTCAATTCCGAAACCTCCTCACTTTATCATAAGAGATTTTTTCTTTGTTTTAACATGGTTAAATTGTTTACTTCGACTAATTTGTGACGTAGCACTTCAGATGTTTAATCTTAGGTCGGCTAATGGCTAAGGCATTCCAACCTCACCACTGTACCAAAGCCTCATTTGTAAAATAAAGGAAAGAAGATGCTCCCAGCTAAGTGTAACAGAACCTCGTCTGCAGAAGTACGGAGACAAATGAACACAAAGGAATCGCAGAGCTTCACCTGTACAAAAATAGAGGTGGAGATCATCAGAGACTGCGTCAGAGTCGGATCCCTAACACTCAAAGCAGGCAAACAAACAACAAACACTGCTGGCTAAAACAGAAAAAACACTTGGGAGACACAATCAATCCTGTTCGCAAACATTGATGTTGGCTGAAGACACCACCAACCCTAAAATTGCTTTTCGTAGTGCAGCCAATTTTTGGCGTGTTTGTGAGGGGCGTTTGTTGAGCGTTGGTCCAGTGTGAACGGGCCATGCGGAAGCGAAACGCACTTGCTGCATGGGGGTCGTCTCGGTGGACTCTCCGGAGCTGGTGTTGGCGAGCCCGGGTACCCCGATGCCCCCCGTCGTGTTGCTCCGTTGCAGAGACACCACCTCGGCGGCATGGGCGGGCCTTGACTCCATGACCTGCTGGAAGAGCGCATCCAGGCGCTCAATCCGCCCGGTCCACCGCTGGGAACGGTCTTCCACCTCTCGCCAGCCTGCATGTCGTCGTGACAGTCTTTGGTTGTGTGCACATTCAGCCTTTAACGAGCAACATCCAGTCATACAGAGCGAAAATGCAACCCTGTTAAGCATAGAGCTAAAATAGTTGCTGTATGTTAAGTTGAATTGGTGTATAGTTATTATAGTCATGTGCGAATAGTGGATTTTGAGCTCGAAGCGAATATTGGTATTGGCAGAATATTTTCACATCGTATATCGAATAGTTTCTTCAGGCCCTTCACTGCTGTTGCACCATGCTTAAACGAAAACCTAGCTAAACTTGTGAAGGCAGTTCCAAAGCTTGCATTCGTTCATTTATAAGCCCATTTTAATAGAACTATATTTATGAACTGTGATCTCAGGACTAGGATCTCAGAATGCCTTGGGATGGAAAGTAAATGACAGATTTTACATAAAATTAAGCATATAGAGATGCCCAGTTATAGCTAAATGAGTGAATTTACAAATCTTGCTACATCGATATATTCTTTCTTCAATCTCGAATTAAAAAAAAAAAGAAAGATCACGAATGATGAAGGCCAGCTTGTCAAGGCATCTCTGCCTAAGACATACTCTTGCATAACAGCGAGAAGGCAAAAATGGTCAGCAGTTTAATTTTTGAAAAATTTACAGCGATGTAGATGTTAGCATTGACAAACGTTTCCATTTCTGTTTAAATAGACCAGCCGCACGTGTTCGCTCTGAAAGAGTGCTTTTCACCCAAGCACGCAATTGCAATATTAAAACTTTTTCCAAGTGTTGATCACAGCAAGACAGTGCGCTTCTTACCGAGCACCGATGCACTGCGAAGAAGCAACACCCACGGAGCTCGCATCCGCAGGTGTTGCTTCTCCGCAGTGCATAGGTGCTTCGTAAGAAGCGCACTCAACGGGGCAAACCCGACGCAATCAACACTTCGAAAAGTATGAATATCTCAGTTCGCCTCGAAGCGAATCTCGAATAGCGCGTGCTGCCAATTTCTACACATAATCCAGGTTTTCCCGCTAAATTTAGCAGAGAAATGATGTGCTTTACACTTTTGCGTTAAGCTTTTCGAAACTTTACCCATTATTAAATCCTTGCTCAAAGCACACTCAAAGTGAGAAAAAAACGAGGGCTCACTGGAGGGTCGTGCAGAGGGCGGCCAGGAGGTCTGGTAGCTGCTGAAGCCCTTGGCGTTGCCCGCAGCCACCCTCACGAAGTAGGCCACCCCCTTCTCCAGGTCGGGAAGGGTCACCTCTGTGCTCTGTACGTCCGTCACCTCCTTGGAGCCCACATCGCGCGAGAAGTCCTCGTGCTCGCACCACTCGACTGCACCCACATATAGAAAGTAGGTTGAGAGATATAGCAGTGCACAGAAGGGGGGGGGGGGGGGGTACTACAACCGGACATTCCTATTGGCTATTCTACAATGACAAAGGGCAAGAAAGAGGTGAAAAGCTAGCAACAACAACGAGAGGTTTCGATTAAACTCGACGCACCCTTTGGGTGGGTTCCATTAAAGAAGACAAAAAAAATTAAAGGGACCGTAAACGCGCTAAAAGCTTTTTTGTGTGTGCGTGTGCCTGGTTTGGCACGTATGCCACAAAATAAATTTTTCCTGCAATATTTTTTGGGATAGGTACTTTGAGAGAATGATTTTGAAACTAGTTTTTATATCAGGATCAATGTCTGGAAGTTAGTTAGTTTCTGAATCGCTCCTAGCTCGATATTGCCGCGTGCATGACCGAGAGGAAAGCTTCTCCATACTTCTAGAAGATTTGCAGTTACTCTTACCTCAAGTGTACTAGATAAAGGGGCCAATATGATCTTGCAGAGGCAGTCTCCGGAGTGTTTGACACTCGAACATTCTAGACCAAATGTTTGAAATACAGAGGGTAATAGATAAGGAGCCCAGCGCGGCCTTGCCGGCTAACTCTATGCATTCTCGCACTAACCAGCTGTCACGCCTACACCTCGATGCTCACTGCTGCCGCTGCCTTCGACGCACACTGCTGCTTTCTCGACGCTCATTCTTTCCTTTGTTTCCGGCACAAGTTTACCGATCAAAATTTATTTTCAGTTTTCTGCTCCTCCATCATTTTCCATCTGTGGCAATATGTGTCTAACGACATAAATATAATGCTAAGACACATTTTCGGGGAAAGTACATTTTGTGACAAATGTGTTTTCGAACGTGTACTATCCAGGCAATTAAAAAAATGTCTTTGGGGAGTTCAGCATTCCAATAAGGCTAGAGCCGTTTGATGCTTTCAGAATACAACAAATAAAATATATACCATGTGTCAAAAAAAATTGAAATATGACCAATGCTTTTTGAGAACTAAGCCCCACTTCTTGCAATCTGTTGTCGTAGCAAAGCAGCCTTCGACAAACTGCCACCGTTCGAAAGGTTCTTGCTCCAAGTAAACCTGGGCCCACTCGAAATAACCTCGTCACATAAGAAAAAATATACTGCAATGTAATTAGATATAGGATATTCACTACACTTGGGTTCATATAGCCTGTGATTGCACTTGCCATACATAACAGTCACGGCACTGTTCTTGAGTCGAAATTTCTGTCCCAGGTGAGTAAAAAGAAAACATCTTTGCCACCGATATTTGGTGCACCCATTAGTTTTTTTCTTCTCTCGCAGCTTACTGAGTGTTGTGGGAAGCTAAACTCACCATTGTACTTTGTGACGAACACCGCTGCTTGAAGGGCAGATGCAGGTTCCGTGAAGCGGACCCTGAGTGCGTGTGTTCCCACCACTTCTAGTGTCACCTGACTTGGAGGGTCCGGGGGCCCTGTGGGAAATTAAAACAGTAAGACCAAAAAAATGGATGACAAACCTAACGGTTGAACCAATTAATTTGCAAAGACTAGTCAAAACATGATGGAATCCTTGTTGAAAGTACAGGATAAAATGCAAAATACACTTCATGCCAAATTAAAAATCACGGTAAGGCAAACTTACACAAAGAAAATAGCAATTTTACTATTTAGATACTGAACGTTTTCTGTAGAGCAATTGTTATCCAAGACCACTGTGCCATACACTACAAAACTGTCATAACTCTACAATTTTCATGTTGCATGTGGTAGAATGATTCTGATGCAAGCTCAGTTTCAGTGGAATAGCTGCTACACTACTACTTTTATCCTATAAATACTTCAAGTGTATGTATTACAGCTGCTTGTCAGAACATCTCCCTATAGCATAGGCAAAGTTGCGGTAATCTAAAATTGTTGATATAGACATCTATGGTATGCTGATACAGAGAAGAAAATGTGAAAAGAGTCAAAGTACAGGCTAGCTGGTGGAAGTGTACTTATAGATGCTGAAATGATTTCTGTTTTTTTTTTTTTGCAAATGAAATGAAATTAAATTATTGAGAGATTCTAGTGTATCTGAATTCAAAACAACAAAAGTTAGGGGAAACCACTTAGGGCAAAAATGATCAATAGCTATGCTGTCATCCTTGCACTCAGACACGAAATACAAAGTTTGGCAAAGTTATAATAGTGCAATGTGTCACTCATTCATTAAATGTATTTTCATCAACATTGAAAACATGGTATTGCTTTTTATAGATACCTAGCAGCTTACTAACCAAAAAAAACTAGTGCAGTTTGATTCCAGAAACACAAATGCAAACTTCAGACCGAAAATGTGCCAGCCACTTTTATCTACAAAGTTGTATAATGCATGAGATGCAGTATTTAAGTAGTGACAACTTAAATTTGTTTACAAGACATTAAACCGTCGTTCCGGAAGTGGAGAACCTAGGTATATTTTTATAAATTTAGCGAAGAAACTGACTTGGTGCATAGGTCACATGACAATAATTTCCCCGGCAAATTTAGAGGGGAAATCGAATTGGTGTATAGGTCCACGTGACATATAAATTTCCCCAGAAAATTCAGCAAGGCCACTCAATTAGTCACATGACCACATGTTATCAGGTCTCGTGGTGTCTATTTTGGAGACAAATTTAGCGGAGAAACTAAATTGGTGCATAGGTCTTATGACGGCAGTTCACGTGACATTAATTTCCCCACTAAATTCAGCGAGGAAACGGGATTGGTTTATACACTCCGTGCGACGCGACTGGCGCGCCGCCGCGCGGCCGGTATTGAAGGTAGGCAGTGAGAACCCCAGAGAAAACGAAACGGAAACCACGCCGCGTACGTTGGTACGCATTGAAGTCGGAGTGGTGCGGTTGCGCTGGGTTCACAGCATAAAGTGCTGCCTGTGCTGCGTCATTAAGTGCTTCAATAGTTATGCGCCGTGTTTCGTGGAGACAAAGTTTGACAGTTTTTCACCTCGCCGATGTTTTGTGGGACAGCGACAACGATGGAGCCGTGCCGTACGACGCGAGAAATTTGGTCTCCCGATCATGTCTGCCACTGTGTCGGCACGGTTGACATATTCTACACTGCCGCTTTGCGCTCTCCGTTGGTTTTCGTACCAGTAACGCCTACATGTGTCAGCGCCGATGGGACGAACTGAAATGCCATCCCACACTCGCGGGTATGCAGTGCCAATTTCGTTGGAGGCCCTCCAAAGAAGTTTCGCCCCCATCGTACGTGTCGATGATATTTCCGGACAAGTATGGCACGCAATCTGTACTTCATGAAGAAAGATTCGAACGGTAAAAAAAGTGACAAATATAGATCTAAAGAAATCAACAATGAAGCTCTGGAATCACTGGAGAATCGGCGTTTGAGTATGGAAGTTTATGTGGTGTGCTTTCTTTCTTGATCAGCCTCTTTTTGGATGTGGAAACGCTGACACCCCGAGTTCTGTAGGCAACAATTTTTTTTCTCTCGGCTTTAGAGCCAACTATCGCAAAATGGTTCAAACTGGAAGTACCGTCCACTGGTCCCTTCCTACCTGTAAAGTGTGCACCTCCCACGATGAGTGGTATTGTCTGACAGCCTTTCACGGTCAAAGCCAGTTCCCATTTAGTTACGCCGCCGAAACTAAATTTCCACCTGGTTTCGCTATGCCAACTATCTTTGTTATAAGTGTTATGCCAAGTGACGGTCATGTCAATGTACCTGTGCGCCGAAAATCAGCACCTCGCACAACAGGTTATTACACAACAGCTGACCGCAAAAGCCCTTGGCGGCCAAACCGTGTGTTGGCCAACAACTTTGTTTTCTCGGCTTTGGAACCACCTTTCGTAAAGTTGTTTCATTTTAAGTACAGTCCCCTAGTCCCTTCCTACATCTGAAGTCTCCACCTCCCCCGACCAGTGGTATTCTCTTGACAGCCTTTTCATGATCAAAACCGGTTCCCATTGAGTTACGCCGCCACAACCGAATTTTCACCTGGTTTCCCTATGCCACCTTTTTTTGGTATAAGTGCTGTGTCATGTTACTGTCAAGTCCAAGCACCTGTGTGCCCAAATCCGCACTTCGCACAGCCCGCTATAACACCACATTTTGGGTCCAATATTGGATATACCGTACAGCTTTATTTCTTTATTCGTTAGAAACACAACTTTCACACCTGCTGTCTTCATGAAACTTGGCACACTTTGTGCACAAACTTAGTGAACATCTCACTCGCCTCCAATATCCTCGTTCCAGCAGTCCTACGTTTACAGCGACGAGCGAAATAAATTTCCCACTCAAAGCAATTATGGTGGTGGCCATCTTGCTTTTCGGAAAATTGCTCCAACTCCTTTTTTGGCCGCAACTAGAGAAATTACCCCTAATAACGACTCCAACTCCATATATAAGAAGTGGAGAACAGCTAAATGCCCTTCTTAGGTCTGCTCCAGCACTCATGCAACGTCACCTTAACGTATCGGCTCAAAAAGCAAAAGTTTCGTCCGTACGCGCTTCCGCCACAACAGCTTGGCATGCGAAAAGGCGCGGCAGGCTGCTGAACGCGCCTCACGGTCGAACGCCAGCTCCTTCGCTAGCGGCGCTGCGCGCGTTTTTCAAAGCGCCCCCTATAGTTCCCGCACGGAGTGTATAGGTCGCGTGGTCAGGTCACATGACATAAATTTTCCTGCCTACTTTAGCGGAGAAACAGATTTATCGAATAATTCTTGCGGCGCTATGTCACGTGACATCAATTTACCCGCTAAGTTTAGCGAGGGACCAACGTAGTGTTAATGTCACAATGTCAATTTCCCCGCTAAATTTAGCGAGAAATGCATGGACAGACAACGGACAAAATTTTGGGAAATATTGGGAAATTCGGAAAATTTCCAAAATTTTGGGAAATTTGTAACAAAACACTTTATGATTTAAGAAGGCAGTTCAGTCGTAGCAAAAGACAAAGCGTCGACACTTACGGAGCTCTTCGAACCCGGCCTTCATCTCGGATATGAGCTCCAGCCGCCGCTTCCATAAGCTCAGCTGTCGCTCTTTCTCCTGCAAAACAAACAGTGAAAACATCAAAACCGAGCCTGCTTTAACGACAAAGGGGTACTGAAGTTTCGACTGAAAGTTCAAAGTAACTGCAGCTTGTCAGTAACCTTCGTTGTTACTTTTCGTCTGGTCTGTATAGCAGACCGTTCTTAATTTATTAAGAAAAAAGCACCCACTATGCAAAATCTTGAACTTAAAGAATCAGATGGCACCAAACTGCACGCATCGCTTGGTACCTAAAAATCTTTCCAACATGGAACAGCTGAGAATTTTTACTCCATCGTTCAAAACCTTACCTAATTTCTTGAATTGATATTCCTCGCAAAAATTAGAGCAAATATTCTCCAGAAAACGTTTAACCACCAGGTGCATACAGCTCCACACTCTTCAAGTGGAATAACAAAAGGCGCAGCCATCTGCTTCACTCCACACTCCCAGGTTGAGTAACAAAATGTGAAATCAGCTGCTTCACTTCCTTATCAAATGTTCAGTAAATTACTTTAATGAACAATTTCAAACAAAGTAAAAAAGTGCAACCATCTGTTTTACTCCGTCATCAAAGATTCAACCGCCTGCTCTACTGCCCTTTCCTGCTCTTCCGTGTGGAGTAAAAAAGGTTAAATAACCTGTTTTACTCCCTCGGCAAATAATCAACATTTTGTTTTCGCTCCACACTCTCAAGAGGAGTCAAAAAGGCGCAACAATCTACTTTACACTCCTAGGTGAAGTTAAAAAAAAATTAATCACCCATTGCTCTTTCTCATCAAAGGTTCAACTGCCTGCTTTACTCCCCCATTCTTTCTGGCGATGCTCGGTGTGGGAACAAAGGGCGTACTCACTTTGAGCAGTGCATTCGAGAGGCTGCCCTGGTTGGCAGAGGCCGATGCCACGCAGGCGGTGAGGTCGTCCACGCAGCGAACAGCCTCTCGGAGCAGCGCCCCCAGCTGGGATGCTCTCGCGTCGGGCGACAAGAAACGCGGGCTCTCGGTGGCACCCCGCGACTGGAGAAGCCGCGCCAGCGAAGCTTCTCCAGTGAGCACCGCGACGTCCAGCGCCGTGAAGCCATCCGTGTTTACGCTGCGAGAAACACGCACAATAGAAATTAGACTTTCGTGCTTTCGATGTATGCCTATGAACCCCGAAAGCTAGCCACCAAGTCTGGTTTATCAAAATCAGGAAAAAAAAGGGACATTTGCAAATCTTTGTAATGCGAAATTAGAGCGCAGCTCTTGAGGAGGAAAAGGAGAGGGTACGGAGGCGAGGGTATGCCCCTCCTCCCATAGTTTCCCCGCTAAATTTAGCTGAATATCAGGACGCCAGGTCAAGTTACATTTTTCCTCCAAATCTAGCGGGGAAACTGAATTGGTGCATAGATGACGTGACGTCATTTTTCCCGCTAAATGTAAACCGGATTCGTCGCGTGACACCAATTTCTTTTTGTGTTAAATTTCGCGGGAAATGCGCGGACGGACGGGCAAAATTTTGGGATGGGGGTTCCGTTAAAAAGGATTTTATGCTTTAAAACACAAACTCCACAATAAAAAAAAATCTACAGATTTATTTTTATGTTGATTTGAAACACAGTCAGCACTGAAGTAACTGTCCACTAGAGACTGCTCGTTTTCTTCTGAAACCAGATCCCTTATCTTGTTTCCTTCTCGTATGGGTACCGGGACAATGCGGAGCGCAAGGTCGTCTGCTTCTTCTGCAGGTGTTGTGGTGACGTCAGAACAACGAGTTCTGATTGGCTCCGACGGAAGAATAGTGGATAAAACTCAAGGCAGCTTGCTTTGAGTTCTACCTACTATCCTCCATTCAGAGATAGGCGTTCTGAAGTCACCACAACCCCTGCAACACCACCAACAACAAAAAAGCAGACCAACAATTGCGTTTTGCAATCGTTCGTCTGCTTTGAAAGGACGAAAAGGGCAGAAGGTGACCCGTATGTTCGAGCTGAACGGGGGCAGCTACCAGGATCCGACCGGCCATTTTCCTATTAAGTCAAATAAAAATGTTGGGGAGTTACCTGCCAAACTAACGTCGTGCATCTGGCACGTCCCAGCGGAGGACTGAGGATTAATTTGAAACACCTGGGGATCTTTAGACGTGCAACCAAACGCTGGGTTGCACAGTGCTTCCTATAGAATAAGCCTCCGTCAGAATGCGGGCACCTCGGTAGGGATTCGAACCCGCCACCCGGGGATCCGTAGGCCGGCGCTCTCGCCTCGCAGCCACCATTTTTCCATCGGTCGTTTCAGGAAATCGTGTATAACCTTTGAATAAGATAAAGGCAAGCTTTGAAACCTTTCAATGTATTTTTTCGTACGAAGTGCTTCGTTTGAGGGAAGACTCGCCCAACTGACAATCCGAACTACGTTCAACAATACCAAATGAAATATATATATATATATATATATATATATATATATATATATATATATATATATATTAAAAAATCCTATTTACGTTGCAAGCATATGTTCCTGGAGGCTAGAGAATTTTACAGGTGTCTCTTGTTTTCTTGGACATGAGCCCCAATAAGCGCCAATTTTTGTAAAAAACAACAAAAAAAAAACAACAAAACAACATTTGTTTTGAAGAAAAAAAAACGAAGAAAACACCCCCTAAGCACGGAACCCTAGGTAATAAATCTGACTGACGTAAAAAAACAAAACAAAAAAAAGAAACGTACACTTATATGAAAATTTTGGAAGGTTAATCATTATTGCTCATGTATGGTGTATGCCATCCATGTTTATCTAATTTCATTTACTGTAAACGACTTTGTTTTCGCATACTCGATATCTCGCGAATTTGGCAAAAGCAGTCTTGGGTAGTAACGCGTTACTAGTAACGCGTTACTGTAACTTAGTTACTTTTTTGGTAACTTGTAACTGTAACGAGTTACTTTTTAAAAATGTAACCTGTAACTGTAGTTCTATTACCTTTTTCTGAGGTAACGATGAAAGTAACGACGTTACTTTTGTCGTTACTTTCCAGTGTTTTATGAATAATAGATCACTGAACGAGTGCAATTTATAAATTCCTTGCGCTTTTCAAATCGTCTATTCCGACATTTCGAGTGTCAAGCTGGCCTTGCACAATGTTGTGAATACGTTTTTTCTCGCGAGTCACGACCCGAATATAGCCACGTGTATATTTTATGAAAGAAAAAATCTAGTTATCTTTAAGCACGCGCTTGTTCTTTGTGACTGAACACTTACATCTTAGTTTCTTGAAGCACTATCTATCTTGTGTTTGTTTTTTTTTCTGTGCGAACGCTTTTAATCGGGTGAACCAACCGTGAAACAACAATACACGTGGAGGGCACTGCGCATGTCTCGTATTTTGATTTGCGCCACTACTCTGGCATGGTAACTTTCAAACACTAACTTCGAGACGCAACTGCAGCTAAGTTACAATATGAAGTAAAAAGCGTACTTTTTAATTTTATGCAATAAAACGTCGAGAGGGGCGTTTTCTAGTTTTCTTCTCATTTTTTGTGTCATAGAAAAGTAACTGAAAGGTAACGTCGTTACTTTTTAAAAGTAACTGTAACTGTAACGAGTTACTCTTTTGTTGCGGTAACTGTAACGGTAACTTCGCTACTTTTTTCTGAAAATAACTGTAACTGTAACGAATTACTTTTTAAAAGTAACTTACCCAAGACTGGGCAAAAGTACGATATGTAAAAATATTTTACGGGCAGAAAATTTTGCGATTGAGAGGAGCATACCAAACGGTATAAACTTTGTCAAAATGCGAAAATTTTATGGGCTGAAATTTTTGTATATAATAGGTATAAGTTTACAGTATGGCCATATCTGTTTTGCTTTACCGAACGCGTAATCACGTGGAAGAAAGGTTGCGAGACTTTTTCTCCTGTCATGATCATGCAAGTACACAAGGTGAAACTTTGCATGAGGTAGACATTGAAGAAGACTGCCCAGATGTTTGCAACGTGAAAGATAGATCTATCGAAAAATATCACGTCTCCAACCATGATCATTAAAGTAGATGAAACAAAATCAACATGAGGCGGTCACTGAAGAGGACGTGGGACATGAAGCAGTTCAATCATTACATTAGAGAAGAGCTGAGAAGCATCCACTAAGATCACGAGAGGACTTAATGCAAAACTGGGACAAGGTAGGTGTTGAAGAAAACTCCACATGCAGAATCATCAATGATCACCAGCTCTAAAATCTGATTTCATAAAAGAAAAAACAGTTGAGAAGCTTTCCACCCTATTGTAGTCATAGAGGTGCACTAGAAAAAACGGATGGATAGTCATATAACATGAGTGAGCCCACAAGAATTCATGCTTCGGGCACTGAGATCGCTCAGCACTAAGTACCAAAGTATGCATGGGTCGCTGAGGTTATGCAGTATGCATTTAGGACGGTGGGGTGCGAGTCATCAGCACACAGATGCTAGCCTCTACTTAGCGTAAAAATATGAGCATCAAATAAAAAAAAAAAAAAAAAAAGATTGGTGCTTGAAAAGTAATCACTAAAAAACATTATTCGAGAGAATGCTGGTTGGCGTTATAATTCATGAAATCAAAGTAAAAAGAGCAAAGCAAAATGAAGCTGGTAAAATCATGATTTTTAAACTAGCAGTAAATAAATAAAAACAGGGCTGCTAATTTCGCTAGCACACAAACCAAACGCAGAGGAAAGAAAAACAGATATAGCCCGATATTTTATCAACATCGCAGGAACAGAGAAAAATAACCTGAAGTTGATTAGGTACAAAAGACAACTCACACGTATTTTCTCTTCATTATCGACGAAGGAAGCGGGAACGCAAAGCTTCCAAAATATATCCAGCTGCTGAGGCAAACAGTATGACACTCCAGAGCCAAAGGAACAGACCGAATAACCGGCCGCTCATAACTTGATTACTGCCTCACTGCAAGAACTCCAACCATCCAACGTGAAAAATGAGGATAAAAAAGAAGAGGGAGAAGACAGGAGAGAGAAGTGGACACGATCTATGCAGCTCTCTTCCTCGACATTTCAACAAATCACAAATAGGTAGGAAAAAACACAAAAAAAAGACAGGTAAAGTATTTGATGCCGTGCCGGGACAACAGCAACGCCGTCTCCTTTCCACTTTCCAGTTTCCCGGCAAGCCAGGAAGTCAGGAGCAGGGGGGGGAAGGAGGGAAAGGGAACGCGGCGCAAAGCGGAGGCTGCCATATTAAAACCGCTTACGTTGCCAGCATAGGTTTCGCAGTGGAGAAGTTGCTGCCATATACGGCGGGCTGAGTTTTACTTTCTTTTTCGTTTTGGAACGAGAATGTATTGTTGTGTTACATAAGTCCTCCTGCATACAGACAACGAAGTTGAATTATATTTGTCTTGTTTACTTGGTTTGAAACCCTAGAAACGGGTTTTTGACGACTTTCATCATTTTAGAGTGCGCAAGGCAGTTACCTCGCTGTTCTGGTTTCGGTTACGAAAGCAAGGCAAAACGCTCGTAGTTCCCGCCCTCAGTACACGTTGGACACCTTCCACACTTTGACACCGGATAACTGTATGAACAAGGATTTACATTTACTTCAGAGGTAACTTTCGCCGCTTCCTCACCGTCGCCCAGCCGGATCAGCTGGCGGCAAGCCGCGGATGGAAGGCTTGAGCATCAACAGCCTAGAGCCACTACAACAACCCAAGTGCACTCAGTGCCGATGCGGGCGACGCGGGCTTCTGTCAACCCAGCCGTGGACCCAAGAGGGGGGCGATGGAAACGGCCCCCCCCCCCCCCCCCCCCCACTGCCCCCTTCTCGGAGGGCGATTTGACATGGGTGGATCCCCCGAAATAACACCAACTACCGGCCTGCCAGGTGGTAGGAGGCTCGGTACTCAAGGACGAGGGTTCGAAATAGGGTAGGCCGCACCCTAGCAGGCACACTATACTCTAAACTTGGAGAACCACTCCGTCGCTTCAACCGAGAATGAAGTCCGCGGCGGCGGTTTCAAAGCACGGCTTAGAACCAAAAGTCGGCGCAGCGGCGCACATCTAGGGGCCGTCGGTGCACTGTGGTTCTGCCCCCCCCCCCCCCCCCCAAAAAAAAAAAAAAAAAAAAAAAACGGAGTTCTGGATTCGTTTTTTAAGTTAACCGGTAGCCCAGCACAATCCGTGAACGTTCCAGCTCTTCGCCATGACACGGTGTTGCAGAAAGCAGGGTAAAATACAACTACACGGACCACCGAATCAAATGCACTGTCATCGTAAATTTTGGCTTGTGATTGCGCTTTTGTAGATCATCTTATTCGTTTTGCTGGAGACGCAACCGACGGGCGTAACAAAATCGTTTGTGTATTCCGCATACCTCGCAAAAGCACTTACCCAGTCACCTTGCGAAAAGCGCGAAACACGGAGTCCGCACCGCCCCGACTTAGCAGTATTTTACCTCGTTTAGAGCAGTTTGTACCTATTAGTAGGCATGTCTACTGAAACTGCAACTTGAAACTAGGGGCAATACCAGAGAGAAAAGAGACAAAGTTGGGAAAGCATAGCCGCTCTCTCCAATTTCTGAACTCTCAAGTGATTGTACCATAATAAATTCCCCAACACCTCTTTCCAAAATAAAGAAAACACGCTATATTCACTACGTAAAAAATGCTCTCAGTTCATGCATCCGCAGGCAGGCAGGAAACGTTGCCCTAATTTATTCACACCACATGACGAGCGCAACAAACTCACACGAGATTTACGAGAAAATATCGGTGGTGACTTAAGTTTCCCTGAAATTCTGTATGACCGGTTGTTTGCAGGACCGAATCATCTACTCGGGCGGTGTGCGTCGCTGTGCAAACGCCAACAACACGAAGCATAAAAACGGCAGGTCTAGGACAACAATCCGGAGTCCATTGTTCAATTAAAACGACGTAATTTTGTTGAAAACGCCCGCAGATTTTTACACACGGTATGCGTCGAGAATCTTCCACATTTTGAAACGGAACGAAGGAAGATTTACTTTTAAAAGCGCTCACTGCGTCCTCCCGGACCAGCTGGACCGGATCAGCTGACGACGACGGGACTGAAACCGCCGAATTTCAACCCCACAATAACCAATTTGCGCTTCGTGTTAGTATGGGCTTCTACCTCCAAGCACCGCACCACACACCACGAACGTTTCAACTCTTTGCCGCATCGCCGTGTTGCACCAAACCTATCTCTATGCACCAAAGAGAACGATATCGCCGAAGTCAACGGAGCGCTGTCGTGAACCTTGGCTTGTGGTTGCGCACTCGTGGACCTTGTGACTCCCTTCGCTTTCAAAGCACACACGACGATTACGAATGATACTTTCCGTCTTCCGGGACCATCAAGGGGCACTTCTCCGGTCACGTCTTCGCTACATGTGCTCGAAAACCGCGTCAAACGTGGTCAAACCGAAGCTGCCGAAGCAATACCGGCGCCATGTTGAAACGTGCGTTGTTGCTAGATTTTCTCCGACCAAACAAAAACAACGAAAGCAAACCGGCTCTAGCTTCCAGTGTACATCGGCGTTGCGCCGTGTCCAGATTTTCTCCGTCAGCTCTAACTTAAAGATGACCTACAGATGCAGCAACACTGGTATCAAGTTTTAACATGGCGGCCCCCACGGAGCGCCGTAAATTCTGAGGAGGGTGCATTGGAAGCGGCGGCACCTTCCCCCCCCCGGTCAGGAGAGCGAGGCAGCCGCTAGGCTTAGCCTGTGCAGCGTCGGGCAAAAGAGGGTAAGAGGGAAAGGGAAGGAGGAAGGACCACGCCAAGTGGGGCGTGAAGCGTGACGTCACACGACGTCACCCGCGCGCGGACTGACGGCGGCAACGACCGCTATCGGACGTGTGGCCGCGTGTTTGTATGCAAAAAACGCCACGGCTTCCTGGATATGCATCTTTTGGAAAGGGGGGGGAGGGGGGGGGGGCGAAACCACGTGGTTTTTGTTGCGATCCTGGTGACGTGAGCGGTGCATCGCGCGCCCGAGCGGTTGTTATCGGGACTGGGTCTATCGGCACGTGCAGCACCCGAGTTGAGTTAGGTTGATAAACGCTCGGCCTGCCGTCCGCACTACGTAAACGACACGTGCTGCTATTTCAGACAGCGGCGCAAAAATCCCCGTTGCGCGCGCGTTTTGTAATGGTATTTTTCTAATGAAAGTCCTCTTAGGCTTACACTGAATTAGAAACATTTTTCTAGCAATTAAAGTATGTTATCGTGCGTTTTTTTTTTTTATAATTAGTTAATTTAAAGCGTTTCAGGGGATGTTTTCCAGACCTCTAATAAAAACGTCCGTCTAGTAGATAAACATGTCTTCTATAAGTGCCTAGATGAAGATGCCTTCTAAATGTCTAAAACAAGGTCTAGATATCTAGAAAGATATCTTCGAAATATCTAAAAAAGAAAGGTTTAGCCACATAAAAAGAGGTGGTCTAGATGTCTGAAGAAAAGTCGCCTAGATATCCAAAAAGAGGTATCCTAGAACACTAGAAGCAGGTACTCTAGATATCTAACAAATAGATATGCAGACTGCATGGACTTGCATATCCATCCTTCCCCCTGCCTAGTCTCACCTTTCTTTAAGACGTCTTGCTCTCAATGAGATCTCATCGCAAAAAGCCATGGCCTTAAACCGCCGAATAGTTACGAAATAAATAGATCGGGAACCTTCGGACTGCCGAAGCAGTAGAGAACCACCAGAGCTCTAGTCAATCATCGCCTTTCTATGGTCGCATAAATAGTAAAAACCAAAAAGCCATTGCTGGTTCTTACATGGCGGAAAGAACAACGACTTCCCGGTGTAGATGGGGGGAAATACGAGGAGAGTCGTGCGTGTTTACACATCTGTTTCAATGAAGTACACTAAATTATCCGAGATTACGCAATACGAATGGAAAGACGAAGTGCGCAGGCGAGCTGCTGGTAGCTATCATGTCGTTTGACAGCCGAAACTGTGATGCAGACGAAGCAAAAAAAAAAACAAAAAAACTTTTTGTTTAAGGAACAGCATAAATTACAACTGAAGGCGCAAAAACATTCAAGTTTTAACTCGCGCTTTTTTTTAAGCCATAAAGTTTATGTAATTACCAATCATTGAGCGCGGCACAATACATGCCAAGTCACTTAACACAATTCATAATTACGTTTTATCTATTTAGTGGCCACGAATGAAACTCCTGGTAGCTCCAGGATGACGTTGAGCGTTCCACTTTAGCGTTAGTTTTGTTTTGATACATTTTTTCCCCATTGAATTCTATAGCCTCAAAACCTGCTTTTCAGCGTGAAACCATGAAAAACCGGCGCTCGCTTGTTCGGGCTGTGTCGCGCTCTACTCTGTGCAATAATCGAGAGGTCCCTGGTTCGATCCCAGGACCAGGCGGGTTTTTTCAGTCGCGCACCGGTCCCCTAGCTGAGTTTGGAGATTTGTTCTTGTCCTTTGTCCCCCTTGTTCTTTTTCTCCAGTGATTATTACCGTCACTCTTGTCCAGCTCGTTTACACCTTTGCATTAATTTAATTATCACCAAAATGTCCGCGTTTACGGTTTTTTTTAAGCTGCCCGCGTAATCGAGGGAGTGTACGGGCAACGCAGGACTCACCTGTTCACGTCCACGTCACTGGACTCCAGGATGGACCGAGCCCTCTCGATGTGGTGGTGCTCCACGGCCGCGAACAAGGCTGGAAAAAACCCGAACATGCGGCGAGTAAGAACAGCCGAATAACGCCGCGGCGAGATGTAAGCACTTGACAAATGGCGGCTCGAAAAACTATGGTGACCGTAAAACTAACATGTTGGTTATAGGCGTCTTTAATATACGGAAGAAAAGAAAATACCTTGCGCGCAAAAGGTGTAATATATAAACGGAGGTGATTTTGTAACTGTTTCTAACATTTTTTTTTTTTTGTAGCAGGAAGGCACATTATTGAATTTAATTACGAAACCCGATTTTCCGTTTTTCCTTTCGTAAAAAGACAAGATTTTTTAAAAGTGAAATTCCACTCCCCGATATAAAAACATAAAAACTGAAAACATGTTTATTTGTTTTGAGGATAATATCCGCGTAAAAGGGGGAAGGGAATAAAAACATAACGCCCTCCCGCCTAAAAATAAAGTTGAGTCGAAAGTGTGGTGTGTCTCTTATAGCATCTTCGATCACCTCGCACCGGAATCGCCCTAAAACCAGCACAGTGCACAGCGCTCCTCGGTCGTGCAGCACGATGTCGGTGCAACATCGAGGACAAACTGCGCCGCGCCGGTGCACCGCGGCAAGCTCCACCTTGCGTCACTTCGCGTTTTGTTCGTTTTTTCTTGCGTAGGTCAGCGCACGGTGCCCGTCTGCTTTCGATTTCTTCTATTTTTTTACTCGCGGATTTGACGGTCCCACAGAAATAAACATCGTGGACGTGATTGTCGATGGTGTCACGAAGCGGGTGACAATTCCACATGTATATGTTGGCCATCCCATTATTGGTTCAAGAAAACGAAACACCAGATAATAGCCGTACCTCGCTGTCATCGAAACGCCTCGCGCCGCTTTCCACGAAGTCCGTGCTTTTCGGGCGCTCCTTGCCACCGCAGCAATCGCCAGTAATCGCGGCGGTGGTGAGAAGCTCGTCGTCTCGCCGTCAGAAGACCCGAGGAAATCATCTAGTGCAGCTGCGAGGCGTGTTCGTTTTTGCAAGATCGCCATCTCGATAGTCTGGGCGTCTGCTACTCCCGCCATCTTCTCGATTCCCCCTCCTGGCCGCAATGCCTGATGGGACTGCCCCCCCGGCGCACCGCCGATTTTCTTGGTGCGCGTTGGGGCAACGAAAAGCCGCACCGGGAGGGTGCGCTTCGTTGATCGAGGACGTACGGTGCGCACCGGTGCACTTGATCGACGATGAAGGGGCGCACCTCAGTGCCCCGGTGCGCACCGGTGCGGATGATCGAGGATGCTATTAGATCCTCGCAGGAACCGGAAGTGACGTCACAAGGTCGAGCTCTATCCCGATTGGCCCAGCTGGCACCAAAATGAGCCCCTAGTGCCCAATGAGAAAGTCGTATTTTAGACGCTGATTATAAGAAACGCGGACAGCACAGGAAACATTTGAATGGCTTCTACAAAGTTCAAAAGAATTCAACAATAAAAAAAAAAAAGCAACACAAAACAAGTGAGATACAATGTGTTGGTACAAATTTTCCGTCGAAGTGGCGTCATAGGGCAGTTATATTCTGATTGGCTCAAACGACGCCACTATGGCCGCCAGCAACCAATCAGTTCTATTTTCGGCGCGGATTTCTACGGTTTGCGGATGGCATTGGGGGATGTAAAGGGTTTACAATGTGTAGAAGAATTCAGTGAAAAAAAAAAAAAAAGAGTAAGATGCAAGGTATTGGTACCAAGTGTCCACACAAGGGCGTGAAGTGGTGCGTGGAAGGGAAACATCTAGGATCGAATCGGGCAGATTGCAAGAGCCCAGGATTTGGAGGTAGCAGACGGTGGTTTTTCATGCAAGCGGTAGTGAGGAACGGCGATCGTGTGGTTAAACTACGGATCCTACCAGATAAGCGATACGCGATTGGCCCTTGATGTAGGCGTCATTCACCGTCGGCCTGGGAAATTTGTGATGTCCACAGATGTTCCCGGACCTATCTATGAAATACGTCTTCCTACATATATGTGCTCTTACATCCATGTTCGTACATACATGTTCACGCATGTTCCTTTACAAGGTTCATGTATCGAGAAAACTAAAGTCACGACATTAGAGGCACGTGAGTGCCGGGACTGCAAAAGTAGCGACGCGCAACTGCTTCGGTAGCAGTTGCTAGCATCGACACGGAAGAACGAATACGGCTGAGCCCTCTGAGTAGGGCGGCGACTTGCGCCACCTGGTGGAATGCACTAGGCCCATACTCACCCTGGAGGTCAATGTTGAACTTGTTGAGTTTTTCGAGCTTCTTTTTTTCGGACTTGGACAAAGAGAAGCCATCCAGGAGTAGTTCCACGCCACTCTGGCGGAGGCCTTTTAGATCCGCACCCGATGTTTTTTTTAGTTTTTTTTTTAATTTTACGTTTGCGCCGATGGACCAGGTGCGAGTGGGTGAGGGGGTGCAGAGGAAGCGGGGAAGGAAGAAAGAGACAGACACCAACATACGGTGAGTGAAAATAGATGTCACAGCCAGTGAATACGTGCACCACAACAACACACACACACAACACCAACACATACACACAACACCGACACGTGAAGCATTCAACTACATCAGGTATCGTGGGGGCGCCTTTGCTCATTTTGCATTAAAAATCATATACGTTTTTCTCATTATGAAGGCTACAGGAAAAAAGAAATCAAGAAATGAGCTTTGCGAAAGCAATTTCCCGTGGCTCTCTTAGAATATGGCTCTTCAACTTTGCGAGGTAGTTCAGCTCGTACAACGTGCAGCAACTGTATACTGGCAAAGTATTTTGTAACTGTTAATGGAAAAAAACACACGAAACACTGGGAACACATTTCCAGGGAGTGTAGTGTAGGGGAGTCCTGAGGTATCAGAGCTAGGTGACGTCAATGGGGGAAAAAAAAAGACAACCCAATATTCTCAGAATATTCTCAGGCATCGAGGCAAATGGTTTAAACGAAGGAGAGGATGACATGAACGATAGGAGAAAGATTAGAAAAAAGGGCTTGTTGCCGGGGGTGCTCCAACAGCAAAAAAAGGGGAGGGTGGAGGTCGGTACCCAGTGAGAGTGACTCAATAATTCTTCCGTAGAAAGCGCATCAATCTCTGTTCAGAATCGGACAACACCCACCAAATTCAGCCTCGACAGTTTGGCATAAGCGGATTTGATTTTCTTTAGCACGGGTATATACCGAAATCGGGTTTGATCGAATGCAATACAACGCCACGTAGAGTACAGCAGTCTGGTTCAATGAGTAGCAGATCACTGAATCTTGCCCAATCAACATCAACGCGATCAAGCTCGTATTGAGAGCAGAATAGCTATCCCGCTGAATTGGTATGGTGGTCATCAGCATGCTGGGTACAAGTGTTATCGAGATACGAACACGAATGCGTCCCACGTAATGCGCATTCCAGGTAACACAGACGCAAACGCTGCTGACAGTCGACACGCTTTCAACCTACTGGGTGTATCAAGGAGAGTCCAGGCTCTTTAAATCGCCAGCAAAATTCGGTTTCTTAACCTATCAAGCTACGACTTTGTGCAGCGTTGCCCACAGACGGTGCATTTTTTTTGTAAAATTTGCAAAGAGCGAGCTTACCTGAGGAAAAAGTAAAGAAAAAGGCTTAGCTCCTATGGAAACGCAGCGACGCCACCGGTCTTCAAACAACACGGCGCCGTTTCGCACGGGAGACGAGATGGCGCAACGAGCGCCGCCAACGAACAAGCATACGGCGCCGAGAGCCGGCATCTTTAGCAGACGATCTTTTCGACTCAAAAGCGGCGCGCCTTCCGCAGGCGGCGACAGTCGCAGAAACAAAAACAGGCGCGGTAACAACAAGGAACTGCAGTTCCTTGTCTGCTAAAGACGCCGGCTCTCGGCGTCGTATGCTCGTTCGTTGGCGGCAGTTGGCATCGCGACCGCTTGCGCCATCTCCTGTCTCCCATGCGAAACGGTGCCGCGTTGTTTGAAGACCGGTGGCTTCGCTGCGTTTCCATAGGAGCTAAGCCTTTTTTCTTTCTTTACTTTTTCCGCAGGTAAGTTCGCTCTTTGAAAATTTTACAAAAACATGCACCATCTGTGGGTACGCTGCACAAAGTCGTAGCGCGATAGGTTAAGAAACTGAATTTTGCGGTCGATTTGAAGAGCCTGGCCTCTCCTTGATACACCCAGTAGTGTCGGCGCCTTACAGTATTTCACTTTTATAGTTCCATCTTGTTTCCGGCTCAGAGCATATCACGTTTGATACTTTATGACTGTGCTATATATGCGTGTAGTTCTTCCTACTAGCACCGAGTATATGTGCTACAACCTGGTAGTTCTTCCCGCCACCTTCGCGATTTCCTTAAATGATTTCACGCGAAATGACAATGCTCAACTTGATCTGGGTTATGTGGCAAGTAATAATGTCTTTATTTCTCCCCATATGTACAGGCACAGACAGAATAACTAGCACGCATTCGGTGCCCGCTGGCAAATACTGGGGCCAACGTTAGCGCGGTGAAGGACATTTCCGAACTCTACACCGAACTCCGGAAGCACGTTAGGGCTGCCGAGCGACGGCATCAAAATATACATATGGGATTACTTAAGAGACATGTTGGGCTGTTGAGTAATCAGTCAGATAATGGTCCCTCTCCTGTGATTACAAGGCGCAACCACGCGCTGACAAGTTGCAATTCATTGTGTTCACGATTCCAGGTTCGTTACGCTCATTCTCTGACGAACCTGCCACCTTACTATAGTACTCAGGTTCAAAGTAGTTATGCTTGGGAGAAGAGCGTGTTGGTCTAAGTCATGGATGAGGAAAGAATAAAACAATTAAAACAGGGACAACACAACCACATCTTTCAATTTTTTGAAAGATGTGGTTGTGTTGTCCCTGTGTTAATTGTTTTATTCTTTCTTCATCCATGATTCAAAGTAGTGCCCTGAATAATCCAGCCTGTTTTAGCTGGACCATGTGGCTTCCGGCCTTCAAGCTACGTGGTCATCAAGAAGTCTGCCATCGGACTGTAGTAGTCAAATTCAGAATCCTGCTCTGATTGGTCCAGCCTGTTAGCTGGACCACGTGGATTCCGGCATTCAAATTACGTGGTCATCGAGAAGTCCGCCATCGGAGCGTAGTAATCAAGTTCAAAGTCCTGTTCTGATTGGTTCAGCCTGTAAGTTGGACCACATGGCTTCCGGCCTTCAAGCTACATAATCATCAAGGAGTCTGCCATCGGACTGTAGTAGTCAAGCTCAAAGTTCTGCTCCGATTGGTCCAGCCTGTTTAGCTGGGCCATTGGACTTCCGTCCTTGAAGCTACGTATAATCATCATGGTCATCAAGGAGTCTACCATCGGGCTGCAGTGGTCAAGGTCAAAGACATGCTCGATTCGGTCCAGTCTGTTCAGCTGGATCGTGGGACATCTGACCTTAATGCCACGAGGTCATCAAGGACTTCCTCAATGGGATCTTAAGACGAGATGAGACGCCTACCTGGTACGCCTTTGGCGAGGCGACTGGGGACGCTGGGGGAGTTGGGCAGTACCGCTGACGACCTCGGCGAATGGCCCGACGCCGGAGTGACTTGAAGAAAGGCTTCGTCCAGGCCGTTGGCCGAAGCCGACGTGGCCGAACACGCGGCTACACCCGCCGAGGTGTCTAGGAGGCTGTCGATGCTCGCGGACCGGCGGAGTGGCGTCGAGGGTACTCCCGGGAAGCCGATGAGTCTACAAGGACGCGCAAGAAATCAACGGTGTCCTTGTGAAGGAAAGCGCCGTCTGAATGTTCTATCGTGACAGCGACTACAGTCACTGGCAGAACGAGAACGGCAGGGTGTCCCATCCATCGTCCCGACTCCAGATCGAGTTCCTTACATCGATAATACCTCAGCGTCTCGTGAGCTTCGAACGTGTACGCGCAGTTAGAGCCCGCTGGAAGGCAACGAGCGCGTGATGGAGGCCAGCCTTTCAAAAGGGATGCCCTGTCACTCTCCCCGTTAGTTACTGTACCCAACAGAATCGCAGTGATTGTCTGTGACCCCAAGCGCCTGACTTAGCGAGACAAATCGTAACCCGTAGCCAAACCAATCGAAAGGTATACTGATCACAACTGCGAGAAAGAAAAGAACGGTGCTCCTTTTTTTAGTGCAGATCTTGCAGACTGCCAAAGTCGAATTTCCCTCAATTACTACACCAAAACGCAAAGACTGGTCCACATATTTGCACGTGAGTGTGAGTGACGGCGTTACGACGAGATGGTTGCGGCGACCAGCAAGGTACGCGCAACGCATCGTAGTAGCCGGTTTCACTCAAACGCCAATGTCCGAACCACACTAATCAGGGCAGCGTTACTAAGCAGGCGAGCTGGTTGCTACTCGACGTACTAAATCCTGAGACAGAGGCAAGAAAGGAGGCCAAGCACGACATCTCAATTTAAGACGTCGTGTTTGTCCTCCTCCTTTGTCTCCGTACCCGGTTCTAGTGTATCGAATCGCACTAATCAAGCCTAACTTACCAACTGATTGTAAACGGACCAAAAAGGACGCCGTACCGGTAGAAAGAAAAGCTGGCCCACGGCCCACACGGGGCCACTAGCAATCCGAACAGAGCAAATCATCGAAACAAAGCATCGAGGCAGCCAATGTGTGTCCGTCTTTCTAACGCTGCTTTACCTTTTTTTTTTTTTTTTTTTTTTTTCTAATTAAAGACACGTAACAATTTTGCTGCCTCCTGGAAGCCTCAGACCGGACAACCGAGGATACCCTAAGAGGGTCGGCTTCTTTGGGTGGTTCAAGTTCGCAAGAGCTGAGGGTAACCGCCCGGGGAAGGGAGAGAGGGACTCACGGGTCGAAGACGGACGAGGTGGACGACGTAGGGGCGGGCGGCGATAGCAGGGCGCTGCTTGCCGAGGGAGACCTGTCCCCAGAACCGAGCGTCTTCTCCTTCTGCATCAGGAGACGGGCCAGCTTGGCCAGGCCGCCGCCTACGCCGCCGCCCTGGTCCTGCCTGAAGACGGCCCACATCGCGAGGTTAGCCGCCGCGAGCTCGGAACCAGAAGGCGTTCACTCTTATCTCGGACCAAGAAGAAAATATTAGAAGGCTCCGCAAAGCGGTCACCCGATGACACCGCCGGAGTGCCAACAGAAAAATCTTGCAAAAGGAAGAAACCCGCTACACTTCGCTTCGCCTTAAATCCGGACGCAGCCGAGGCTACGAGCTTATGGGATCAATCAAATAGCGTCAAAAGAGCACCAGCATTATGTTGGTCATGTTTCTGTCGTTGTCTATTATCGCTGAACCAAGCTTGTCCATAGAAGGCCCAGTGACTTGCTCTTTTGTCGCTGTTTCATTAGTTCCGTCTGCTCGTAGCGTTGACTGCGTCTGGACTTAAGGTAAAACGAAGTATAGTCATATCGTTTCCACTGCACATCGTGCTACGCGAAGATCTAACTAAAAAGTCTCATGCCGTCAAAGTGTCCCGTGACGTCACCCTGTCACGTCGCGGTTTCGCGTGACGCGACGTCACATGACAGAGTGTCATCATGTGACATCAATGTCACCCGACGTCACGGTGTCATGTGACGCTGTGTCATGTGATACCCTGACGTACTTCCGTCAAGTTTTCCGGCTAAATTTACATCCCTGTGACTTTGATGTGCTATCGTGATAAGGAATAAGGATGAAAACACAGCAGTTGGCGAGAAAGTGTCAAGTTATGTGGAACTGTGCGCCGCGTGCTATAAGATTAGGCAGCCAGCAACCATGATGAAGAACACGACGTCTTCCACTTGACACTGCTGCTACGGGCGAACACGGGCGCACCGTGTTCTTCCTAATATCCGCGCCGTCACTCTACCAGGCGCCGCAGAGATAGTACACTTGGAACACGCACATCGCGCCTTCTACACTCTAAAAAAAAGAAAGGTGTATTCTTACACCCTTTGTCCCATATAAGACACTCCAAAACTCCAGTTCAACGTACAGCGCACTGACGTCGATCTGACTAACGTTCACGAGAGGCTTGATAGCCGTGTGGTACAACTTATTAAAATAGCTAATGTACGTGTTACTGACTACAAAAAATATTAACAATAATAATCGGGGTTATATTGGCCCCACTGCAAAACCTCAGTGTTCTCTTTTTGTGGTCTTTGATACGTATTTTAGCAATTTAATAAGTTATGTCGCACCGTTATCAAGCCCCTCGTAAGAGTAACGGTCGTCTGTTCGACTGTAGTGCGCTGTACGTCGAACGTCGAACTGAAGTTTTGGGGCGTATTATATGGGACGAAAGGGTGTAAGGCGATACCCCTTTTTTTTATTAGAGTGCATCTATACACCGTTTTTTTTTTTTTCGTGACGGCCGCCATGTTGAATTTTGACGTAGCTGGTTTGGGCCAAAATAGCAAATCACTTTATTTTCGAATTGGAAGGCGCTTTAATCCAAGGGGTCCACGCCGAAAAGATTCTACATTTTTTCTTTGCTACACTTCTTTTAAACTGTATTTATGTTTAAACTATTTACTTTAGTTTTTATCACCCAACCAAACTATGCTTGAAATGAGACATTTACTTTTGCGACGTGTACGTGGTTTCACCACAAGTTGACGCATAACTGACGTGTCAGAGCTGGCGACGCAGGGAGGCATGACCTTCTGGTCCAATTAACTGCCCATCACAATCTGATTTGTCATTTTCACACCAACCAAGCGCTTATAGTACAACAGGTTTACCTCAGGACCTACGGGCAACGCCATGTATTTTCGTCCATGCTCTTGCACAGCCAGCATGGTCTCCAAGGCATGACGTCAGACACATGAGTTGGTGTACACATGGCCCGCTCACAACGTCATCGAGCCATGCTGGTGGTCATTGGTGCTTGTCTTTGCCAAGGAGAGAAAACTCGGTGGCGCGAAATGTATGCTGAAGAATCTATATGCGCTCAGTAGCGAGGCTACCACAATGGCAGATACTGTGACGTCATCACGCTCTGGAAGGTATGCTCGGAAGCAAGCCCACCAGCAAGGCACCTGGTGTCAGGTCAATGCAAGTGGTATGATACCTTCGTGAACTCAGGAAGACGCGTCTACAGGACAACAAAGACAGTTTGAAAGGCACCCACTTCTTGCCGACGTCTCCCTTGGAGCTGCTGGCCTGCGAAGCTCCGGAACCAGCAGAAGACAGGCTGTGGCGAGGGGAAGGGCTCGGCGAGAACCGCAGGCCATCTTCGTCCTCCACCAACAGGTGGCATCCTACAAACCAGGATCACCATCGAGACACAGTTGAGGGAACGGCCATCGGCTTTTTCATTTAAAAGTACACTGAAGGCAACCCTGAAGCTGCGGTCGCACCGCGCCACTCAATATACCGTTTCAAATTGTTTTCACTGGTATTTTAGGCAGATTTCATCCGCCAAACAGGGCCCACAACAAGCGGGAACAACTGAAACCAAAGTGGCAGCTGAAAAACCGGACGTGACGTTTCAGTGAAACTCGGTGATCGATACGTCACTTCCTTTCCTCTCCCTCTCTTTCTCTTGGGCTGTAAGCGCTCTCAAATTAGACTTTGGGCGGTGCCCTCGCAAATTTACATTATGTTATCTAAGAAATTGTTAGCTCATTAGCGTTTAGCGCCTTCCACTGAGTCCGGCGGTTTTTCAGCCGCCATTCCGGCTTTACCGCAAAAATGCCACTGGCACAGCAGCAATCCACTGTGTGGGCGGAGCTTTGCTCTTTGTGGGCGGGCTGCAGACCCTATGTTGCAACAGTTGCAGCAGGCTAGGGACATTCGTACTTTCTCCGATAGAGCGTGCTGCGAGCATCGGCTGCCTTAAAGAGTGACACTAGCATGATAATCATTGATACATTCCTGGCCGAAGAGAATTCAGCTTCGCTTTTGTTGGTAGGTTGTATCCGTCCCGTTTTTGACGTGAACGGTGTTAGAAGAAAAGGACTCCTACTTAAAGTCACGGCACAGAAAGGACGTGACACAACACTTCTAAATTTCCTAAAATATCTCATCTACACGCCCTCGGGTATACAAGAGACTTCCAGCATTCAAACTCATATCTGTGAAGAATAAAAGCGGCGACAGTCAAAATGACAATAGCAAACCTACAAAGGCAGCCACGTTAGAAGCAAAAGGGCGTCGCAGGCGTCAAATGTAGGATGAATTCATAAAACATAATTTTATAACGACATTGTGCCTTCTTCGTGTCGGTATTGACAGTGAACAAAGATTTACCTTGGACTGCAGTACATTTTGCTTTCATTGTGTCTGCAATCGAGGTGATATGTTACCGTCTGAAAAGGCTTATTTGTGATCGTAATTCTATCTCTACTGCTCATACATGAACACATTACCCCCAAAAAGTAACTAAATGCCGTTACTCGTTAGAGATTCTCAAAAGGAACGCGTTACTTTACCTCAAAAGTAGCGAGTTACTTTTCTCGTTACTTTGACTACCAAATACATAACTGCTTTTCTATCATGGATTATTGTTTTCTTTTCAGTAGTCGTTGCACTTAAGCAGTAGCTGCCTTTCAAAGTTTTCATCAGTAATTTTTCCACGCTACATTGAGAATGCATCCCCGGCGACGCTGAAGAGTCGATACTGACGCACTCGAAGGAACGGTAGTGTTGTGCTTCAGAGAGAGCTGGTGAATCCGGGATTCCCCCCTCTCTTTTGTTTGTTCTCCCTGCTTTGAAAGTTCCAAGTTGGCAATGGGTTCTGTGCCTTCCCGCGTTGGCAACGTCCGAGTTTCCATTCGGTCTGTACACGATTCTAGAAGGTTCAACCAACGAACATTATTGTGTTCTCTGAGTGAAGGACCTTCCCAGCTGTAGAGTTTGACTGAGGTGTTCAGCGATAAACGTTGCTATACCGTCATACTGTTCAGTTTTTCAAATTACCCATCTCCCTTTGTCGCAATAGATGCGTACTTGTACACGTTACTCCTCAAAAGTAACGAAGTACCGTCACTCGTTTCTTTACTTTAAAAGTAACTAACTACGTTACTAGTTCCTTTTCTATAAAAATTACTAGGTAGTAGAACTCGTTACTAGTGACACGTTACATACATGTCTGCTATTGCTCAGATATATTTTTATTTTCAATACACTGCGCGGGCCTTCATTTCATGTAAATAAATAGCAAAAAACTGCTTTGTATGCTACGGCACTGTAACCTAATATGCAAAAATATGTCGTGGGCTTCCTTTTTTGTATGCGTAAACATTGTAAAAAAATCCTGTTTGAATCAAAGGTTAGAAATAAAAATAAAAGTCTGGGAATGGTTCAGAGGAGAATTTATTCTCGCCGGTGCAGTACCGGGAAAGGGGCACTGATGCATTCATCTTGTTTTTCATCGATGGCCAATGCCTCAAGGAGTTCACCAGCAAGTTTGTCTCTGCTTTTTTTCCAGGACCTTCAAGTTTTGCAAACTTGCAGTGCACCGGTCTTCTCGACAATAGACTGGTAGATGCCATGCCCCCCCCCCCCCCCCCCCCCGCTGAGATAATCCTTAATGAAGCAGCATGTTCTCTTGTCCGGTCATCGATGCAACAAAAACAAAGAAAGATATGCGCGTGAAATCCTTGAGGCATTGCCACCGATGAAAAATGACTATTTTTAAAACTAAAGTAAAAAAAAAAAGTTATTGTACATTACTTGGAAATTTGTTTGCATAGTCAAAACGAGTTTCCTCTCCTGCCTTTTCTGCTCTCGCTAAATGAATCGTTCCAAAAGCCGACGACGACGTGTTTTTTTTAAATTTTTTTATTTGGTTTTGTTATTTGGTCTGGAAAATCGTTGAAATCCCCATTCAGTCATTGGGAAATTTGGTTTCTTTTTACTGGTAGCTTCAGACTAATACAAACTATTCATTCGAGCTTTTCACAACACAAATCCACCACCAGGCCTCACGATAAATTTCAGAATAAATTACGGGATCCGAGCGTGCAAAGCTGAATTTTTACGATTTTTACGGCATCGGAGGGAGCGTGATCACCGTGATCACGTGGGGACTGGTCCTAAGAGCCCCGTAGCGTCCACCGCACCGTCAACTTCAAACCGTATTCGCGTGAAATGAAGCGTCTGCTCATGCACAGGGTGTATAAGGCCCCTAGGGACCTCAGCAGGGTACCGACAACAGCGAGCGTGTCCAAGGCCTCGTGTTCGTTCGTTTACGGCGTAACAGCTAGGATCTGGTTCTCTTCGTCGGGATGCATCGAAACTATATAGATTCGCAACTGCGGTTCTGCGAGGGCGGATTGAACCATCCGTCAACGTCGAGCGCTTCGAGGCGGGAAGCCAATGACGGAAGAGCATCGGGATGACGTCATTGTCAGCGAGAGGAGCGAAGGGGGCTTAAGGCCAAAATGGAAATCGATGAGGAAGTTTGAGTTAACCCACGGGTAAAAGGATTAGAATGAAAAACGGAACAAAAATAGTGAAAGTTGGGGTCTCTATATGCGTTCTGCTAAGAAAACAAAGTAACCTTCTCGTTTTTTCTTTTAAATAGTTTTTGTTACGTCTTGAGGTTGGTGACATCAGTATGAAGCAACGCAGTGATGTCGCTAGCGATTCTGACGAAGAAAGCGTTGGGTAGATATGTCACGTAAAAGCTTGTCCCGAATCTACACCCCGGCCTTCTGTTAACGATCGTCAAATAACACGAATCAGGACCAATGTAATGCAGGTTGATCAACCTGCGTCAACCTGTATTACAGTTGCACAGTGCTGTGCTAGGAAACACGACTTCTTGTCCTAACGAGTTAAAAAAAAAAGTGTTTTAAAGCGTGCGTTTAAAAATGGCTTACGAAAGCAATTTGGGCTAGCACACGATACTTTTATCGAGTAAAATCACATCCTGCGAGCGGTCTTTCGTGGAACTAAAATTTGACATTTTTTTCGTGCGTGGTGTGGATATATAAACCAATTCTACAGAAAACGGTCTGGACGTCGGTCAAATATCTTGAAACACAAAACGAGCCGAGTATTTCGCAAGGCGTAAGTTTAAGCGAAATAGTACGCACTAGACACGCGTCCAGATTAAGTTGGGATATATTTAACGTGAAGTCGAAGAACGATTAAAAGCAAATTCGGAAGCTTATTCAGAAAATAAGAAAAACTATGGAACAATCTAAAATCCGGGTTGCATTTAAACTTGAAGTCCGCTTTAGAGGGTACCTTGCTGAGGACACATGATCATCGCGATACAACAATGTTAAATGTTTATAGTCGGCTACAAGTCAAGAAGGTATACGAGAAGCTCCTCCCACAAGCGTGATGCGCCCGTTTCAAATCTCTCCGCAGTCGAAAGAAGAGTTCACTGGAAACGCTCCTTGTTCCGCTTCAGTGTATTCCAACTTGTTTCCGATCCCACTTTTTAAGAAAGCGACCTTTGTATTTATTGCAGGGGGAACCGAGCCCCCTGAAAGCAGCCTTTGTATTTATCGGAGGGGGCAGCTAATCCCCGAAAGGTCGTATTTGTTTCCATCGGAGGGGCAAAACTCTAAACTCCCTCTCGTGGCTTCCACAATGCTAAGTCAAAGTCGAAAGATAAAGCAAAGATGTACAGAAAGGCAAGACCCTCCTCGCGCGTTGACCGCGACGTCACGGAAACAATGGGACGCTATTGGATGCGAAGGTGGCGGAGGGATATATGATTCCCTTTGAGGGGCATTTGCCGCTACCTTCTTGACTTGTAACCGACTATAGCATTTGTGCATGACCATTACTGAGTACTAGTAATGGTTATCCTCCCTCTCTCCCCCCCCCCCCCCCAAAAAAAAAAAGAAAAAAAAAACATGTTCGAGATTTTTTTTTCTTCTTTCAATTTAGGATCAGATAGCGTGCATATAAGATGTTACGAGGTCGCTTAGCGTAATACATAAAGAAGACACTAAAAACCGACCGAGGCTAGAATTTGAATTGAGTTAATAGGGATTCCGAAGGCAGATATTACATAAACGCCCGCAAGGTCCGATGATCGATTTAGGTAAAATACCTCCGTGTAGCATCTACTAATATAAAAGATCGCACGAGCCGAATAATTCATAATAACGAAAAAAGAAATCGAGCTACAACGGTATAGGATTTGACGTGCTCAAAATTGATCAGCCTCCTGAATGCGGCTTGACTCGTAAATCAAATTTTTACAAGCATGCCTTCGCGTACGATGAAAAGAAAGAAGAGGCTCTTTGGTAAGATTTATTCTGCGCGTACCAGTAAGTTACATCGCGGC